GCCTGCTGTAATTATATGTTATTCCCAACTGTTAAAGGTGCAGGAGTGCTTGACCTCTTTTTCACCCCTCCCCCTAGGAATGGGGGAGAAATTCAATTCAGATGACATTTAAAGGCAAACCTACAGAATTCCCACTTACCAAAATGATACAAGAACCAAAACACAGCTATCGTTTGAAATCTACACTTCTCTGAATTTCACAGTGCAGTTCTCTTCACCCCCTCTGCCCCCCCCAGATGACTTATGTTGCCTTCAGGATCTCCTGCAAGTCAAGAGAGTGTGTGCAGCACACTGCTATTGTTTACTCAGAAGTAAGTCGACTGGGTTCACTGTGGCTTTCCTCCAGGTAAGTGCATATAGAACTGCAGGCTTCAGATTAGCATGGAGTAGTTTTAGGACTTTTGTAGCCATCTGCCCACCTTATACTATCTGAAAACAAAAGGTACATATGGACCAGGTAGTCTTGGGGAATTGTGGTTCCTGGGCACTGTTTTCTGCATGCTGCCCAACAATTCACCACTGTGCCACATGTGACATCAGGCCAAAGTGGAGATTATCTTTCCCATACATTTGTGAAGTGCCTTAAATGAGACCAGTGCTCTTTCTTCCTCAAATCTTTTTAAATCTAAGTATAACTTTGTGAGGAGTCCATTTCCCAAGAAGTGGATTGAATGTCCAGGACTTGGCCTAGGGGTGGAAAATGGCTGACAGCGAATATTTTAGTATTGTCTGCTATTATACACTCCCCCCTTGCTTTAAAAGGGAACTTCGAAAGAACTGGTGGCAAAGGTTTAAACAAAGATGACTTGCTAGCTTTTACAACCACAGACCTGATTGCTCTATTTTAAATAAACAGGGTCCTTTAGAAGCACAAAAGTGCTACTTGGATCCTTTCCGGTTGTCATTAGGTTGATTCATTAATTAGCATGACTGCTAACAGAATTACCAGGGCTTTTTGCCTTTGTTAGATACACGGAAGAATGGATGTGATGGAGACATGGACTGGAAACAGGTGGATGGTTGCTCGACGTCCCAAAACGCCAGTTCCATATCCCTTACTGGCAGCACAGAACTTTTTTCTTTGAGCTCATTCAGCACAGCAGGGAATGCTCCTACAAAAGCAAGCACCCCCCCCCACTCCCATTTCATTGTGGAAAATGCTGAGTCCCATCATTCTGGAGTCTTTTAAGTTTTAGGGAAAGCTGTATACTTGAAAGTGAGTAGATGGAGCATACTGTAAACTAGGCAAAGCCCAAACTTTGCTCGCTCATAACTGCACATTTTAACTCTCCAACATCTAAGCTTCTTTTTCATGTTGGATGTTTGTTTTCTGCTTACGGTAAGTTCTACAAAAGGTAGCTAGACTTGGAAAACTGACAATGGCATTGGAGTCTTAGATATGTCTACTCAAAAGTTAGTCCAACTGAATCCAATGTGACTTATTCTCAGGTATGCCTGTCTAGGATCGAAGCCTCAATGTATGCTACTGTTTACGGCATTATTTCAAATCTCTGCTTTTGAGCCTGTTAACAAAAGTGAAAAATTAGCCAAAAATTTCATGCCCGTATTCATGTTATCACAGTTTGAAAAAGATGTTTCAACTGATAACAAACCACCAACTTTTATTCTCGCTTTCAGGACCATACAGGACAGAAAATAGCTAAATTGCTCAGTGCTAGCATTACATATTTATGCTTGATAGCCAAGTTTCTGGGTATTTTCACGACTGTATTGTACATGCTTAGTGCTTTTTTAATTTTTTTAAAAAAAGACTTCCTAAAGCTGCAGATTCAAAGCAAATGCTGTAATTTATGCAGAAGCCAGTGTGGTGTCAAGGCTACAGGGGCTCAGGGAACACAAAGAGAAACATGAAGGGACATATCTGACCCCCTCTGACCCGAGGTTCCTGACCCCTGGACTAGGGTGTCAGATTAGGACACACCGGCCCCCAATGCACCCTCAAATTCTGCTCCAAGGGAAGTAGATACAATTCTTAAATTAAAAAAACCATTAAAAAATAGCATTTTGTGTCATTTTCTCCTAAGATGCATATATGAATTGGATTTTAACATATGTGCATATCTATCTAAGCAGTTTTCCTCATTGTAATGCATTTTGGTTTGCTATTTTAGCAAATATTGCATTGTTAAAAATATACGCATTTCTGTACACACTTCCCCTAATATGCAAAATTTGTGCACATTTAGGGTTTTTTTCTATTTTTTGCAGAAGTCCATCACAAAATTTGAAGAAGCATGAACTGCAACACATACCTATCTTTCTGATCATCCGCAGTTTTGGGACCTGCCAATTAGGTGGTTTGCATCAACACAGGAACCAAACTGAATTTTCCTGTATCCCTCCCTCCTCAAGTAAAAGCAAGCATTACTTGAGGAACTCTAAGGTAACACTTGAGATGCTGAGAAGCTGACAAAGGCAGTGAATTCCCTTCCTAAGCAGTACGAAAGTGCCCTCAGATGGTCAGCAATTTTGGTGTTCTTGCCTGCCATACTGTCTGAAGCAAGCTGTTTCTGTTACATTTAAACCTGTTACCATTATCATGCGTTCAAGCATCTAGTCACATTGTGTCTTACATGCTATCCCCATAGCTCTAAACTGTGTGGAGTGAGCTGGTGCTATAACCCAGCAAATACAAATTACGCAGGAGATCAGGTAGCAATAGGTGACACATGCATTCATTTATGTAATATGCTCCCATGTTCATATTTGGCCAACTTTATCTCAAATCCCCCTCCAAAGATGCTGGGTGGTTCTTGTCTTCTTATTTAACTTAGAACAGCTACTGCTTCTGGTCCTGAGAGTTAATGACCTGTTGAGCTCATCTCTTCTTTCAGGAGATGTTGCCTTCATGTTTTCCGGCTTAGCAAACCTGCGGGTTTTCAACTCTCTGTGGTGTGATGCGCTGTTAATTTTAAAGGCATTATGCTTTGAGAAAATCTAGGCAAAAGGGGAGCAGCAAGTTCATTGGGTGGCCCAGTTACTGAATAGCTGGTGCCTGAAATAAACGGATCTTACACCAGTGACAAAGGGGGGGGCACTTAAAGGCTGCGGCTCCATTTTACTTTTGCATCTTTTCTTTGTAAATAAATAAAGCAACGGGTTTATTTTGTGCCTCTTAATTGAATGAATTGGGTTTCTGAATTAGGGAGATGCTAAAGGAATGCAGGCAAGTTGGACACTGATGATGCCTCTGTTGAAAACAATACATTTCCATAGCATTTTAAGTGCAAGCAGTGCTTTAGAAATCATTATCCCAATAATGTCAGTCAGTTTCTGGGGAGGTTGCAGCGTTTTGTTGGCACTCCTTAGAATGCCTTAGCTCTCCTTCAGGCATTCCAAAGTGGTGACAATCAATATGGGAGAATAAGCATGCTAACTCCAATCCTTCTTTTGCCATTTTTGTCACCTTCCAATGCATGGAAGGTGACCTGTCTGTAGCAGGGAGCTTTTTGTATCTGCAGAGGCTGCCCACACAGTATAGAATTTGCATTTTCCAGGGTTCTAAAACACATGGGGAGCCCACACAGACACAAAAGGCTCCCTGATGCAGGTAGCTACTGTATTTTTCCGTGTATAAGACTATGTTCTTTTCTTTAAAAATTATGCCCAAAAGTGGGGGTTGTCTTATACATGGACAGTGCATAGGGTGGACGTTTGATTGGTTGCTGCCGAGGTTGTCAGTGGCTATTGTGCGTGTTATTGGTTGCTGCATCAATGGATGGTGTTGATTGGCTGACACTCCGGCAGTTGGGCGGGTGATTGGTAGCTTCTGCCGGCGATGGGACAGATGGGAGGTGGATTTAGCGATGCATGTGGGTGAGCAATTTTAGGCAATCCCCCCCTAAAAAAAGCTCAATAACCCTGGGTAAGCCTCCCCCAAAAAAGCTCAAGAACTCTGGGCCATCTCCCCCCATTTTCTTAAATCTGAGTCCCCCAAAATAGGGGGCATCTCATACATGGAGGCGTCTTATAGACGGGTAAGTATGGTACTTTTCTCAAGTTGGAAGATGAGAAAAATGGCTGCAGAAGGGGGTGGAGCTAGCACACTTAGCCTCATTGGTTCCTCTCTCCTCACTACAACATCTGAAGACGAGAAATGTGATGTGGTGTGTCCATGATTTGGAAGATACTGAAAACTGCAATTGAAGAGGAGTGGAATAAACACACTCATTCCTAGTGCCAACCCTCACGTGGTCTGATGTGATCTCTTTTGGGAAATAATTCATTTGAAACCAATGGACCTTACATCAAAGTAAGTCTGCTAGGGATTAGGGGGTTGGTTACACAAATAACCAAACATATATCTGTTCAATTTGTAATGCACCACACACACACACACACACACTTATAAAAACATTTTATAAAATACTTTTACACATGGTTATGAATGTTGAATTGCAAAATGCCCAGGTTGATGAATTCAGCACTGTTGACTTATTTCATTCTGGTCTTTAAAACTGATTATTTTACCAGAAAGTGTTGTAATCTGGAGAAATTCCTAGGAAACAATTCTCTAGTAGTGGCGAAATGGATCAAAACTGTGTTGCAGCCATGTAGCTGCCAGTCAGCAGGAGGCTCAGAGTGACATGTTTAGGGTCAGATTCAGAAGACAGAAGGGGCTCATTATTGGATAAAGCAAAATAGTTCTCCTCAGGTTATACTGTCCGTTTCCAAGGAAATAGTGCATTTCACATTGACGAAGGGATTCTTGCATAATATTTTTCCAAGTTGTTTGGAACTTCTCTTCCTCACAGTAAGTTCACTTGCACATACCGGAGGAACAGCACATTGTGAAGATAAAACACACTGTTCCACCAGGCTGGTGAAATTATACTTTAGGTCTCTCTTTCCACAAGGCATTGCCATTTAATATAAATAGAAATTCTATCTTCCCTCTGCTACCTTTGCTCACCATGTGGGAGGTGGAGGATGTGCAGAGAAGCAATTTCAATTTCTTTTAATCAAAAACTCAAGCTCTTTCATAGAGTCACTGCACTCACAGACCGCCGGTGGCTCCTTTGACTGGAATTTTCAGCGCCATTGGTCAGGAGGCCAGAAAAGGGCTTTGCTGGTATACTTTGCCCAGGAGATGCATCTGCTGACAGGAAACCGGCAGCCACATCCTCTTCCCCACCCCACCATTTGGTGTAGTCATTGCCTCCTCTGTTCGATGCCTGGTTCCTGAGGGCTTCTTGTTCTGGAGGACAGAGACCTTGAAACGTGTGCTCTGCTGCAATGTCAGGTGAAGACACACCCATGTTTGCAATGGGTCCTTCGGGCCCATCATTGCAGACACCTTGGCCTTGTTCCCTCAATTTCCATTTCTTTATTTCCCAGTCCTGCTGTTCTTTAGGGAGCTTATCCAAGTGTTGTGCTTTCACAATGGGCGATACCTCAAAAGTTCCCTGAAGAGCCAAGATAAGATACCTAAACAAACAAACAAACAAACAAACAAACAACTTTAGTAGTACCCTCATAAAAACAAGCTTTCACTCTTCCTGGTTCTCCTATTCTGTAGATATCTGATGAGGTAGTATATAGTGGTACCTCAGGTTAAGTACTTAATTCGTTCCGGAGGTCCGTACTTAACCTGAAACTGTTCTTAACCTGAAGCACCACTTTAACTAATGGGGCCTCTCGCTGCCCCCACACCGCCGGAGCACGATTTCTGTTCTCATCCTGAAGCAAAGTTCTTAACCTGAAGCACTATTTCTGGGTTAGCAGAGTCTGTAACCTGAAGCGTATGTAAACTGAAGCGTATGTAACCTGAGGTACCACTGTAATGCTCTTGGGTAATCTTTTATGAAGACAATCTGCTTGTTACAGTGACCTTATAACACTGATAGGCCAGCCGAGGGCTTGGAATTTGTAGGAGGGTCAAATCAGCCATGATGTGATTTTAGGCCAGTCGCTTTCTTTTAGCCTGACCCATCTCACTTGGTTGCAGGGGAGGAGAAACCATGTACACTGCCTTATAGACTTTGGAGGAAAGGCAGGCTATATGAGTGACAAATAATACAGAGTTGTTAGAGACAGGTTTGAAGATAGGAAAGTCCTTTTGTTGGAGGGAGGGGGTTGCAAAGGAGAGAAGGGAGCAAGGATACTGTGGGGCTGCCCTGTGCATATTGCATGGAAGAGGGCTGTGGGGCAAGGTTCAGGAGCTAGTACACCTGCTGCATTTCTCTGTGGGTCTCTGTGGTCTAGCTAGAAATGGTGTGCACTAAGGTAGCTTTGATGGGCTGGATGAGGGCCCAGGAATTGAGACTGAATCCTGACAAGGCAGAGTGCTACGGTGTGGGAAAAATTTATTTAATTAGTCATTAAGAAATGGATCTACTGTCCTTTGTCAAAAGGCCGCAGGGTGGTTTGCAACATAAGCAACACAAAAACATAAGAAACAATTATATCAGTGCAATGCACAATAAAAATGGCAACACCCAACTGTTCATAAAATACTGCAGTTATGGTTCCCCCTCATCCAAAAGCCTCCTGGAAGCAGTGTTTCTTAGGGCAAAGAGTGACAGTAAACCACCGCTTTTGATGTGGCTACACTCCCCTTGAAAGAACAAGTACATAGTCTGGGAATATTCCGAGATCCATCTTTGTCACAGGAGGTTCAAGTGTCCTCAGTGGTGTGAAGTACCTTAGGCCAGCTTTCGCCACCTGCTGTGGCTGTGTTGGGACAGAGACAGCCTGGGCACAAACTCATACTGTGATAACCTTCCATTCTGAATATTGAATTGTGCTCTGTGTAGGTTGACTCTTTGAATGACTCAAAATGGCAGCTACAGCAAAATGAGCAGAACAGCTAGACACATCCCATTGGTTCTGAAAGAACTGCACTGGCTGCCAATAAGATTATGATTTGAACCTAAATATCTGAAGGAGCACCTCTCCCTATGTAATCCCACTTGAATGTTAAAAGTTTACCACAGTGTCTCACCTCACACAGTGTAAGGTGATGTGAGAAAGGGCCTTCTGTGTGGTAGTGCCCAGGTTGTGAGACGCCTTCCTCTCTGAAATTCAGCTGACATCTACTCTCCCCCCCCAATCAGTGCCAGTGTAAAACATTCAAGCCTTTCGAAAATATTGAGGTCCAGCTTGGGCTTTTTAGAGACATTTCTGTTGCTTTATGATCAGCTGTAACTGAAATGTTATTTGATGTTATTTTAATTTTTGATTAATTGATTCTAGTTTTAAATGAAGTGTTGTGGTTCTCTACCATGAGATCTTAGGAAACAAGTGGGCTATAAATACCGGTATGTCAAAAGAAATAAACAAACTGGTGATTGATTCCAGGGGGCCATTTTTGGGTGGAGGTAATTAGTTGAGTGGGAGTATCTTTTTTCTTTCCTTTCCATGTAGTGAACAGCAGGAAAAAGTACAGGTTGTATCTTGTTTTGGCACCGCCGTTCAACACCAGCAAGCTAAGCAGAAAGTGACAATGCTTATTAGTTTTGCAGCTCTGGGTCATATTTGTAAATCATCGTATGGTGCTAACAGCCTTATGAACTAGTTTTCAGCACAGATTGACCAGGCCTGTGGGCAGAGCTAAATCCTTTTAGGAATGTAACATTATTTGCTTACACGCATGTGGCTGGCTGATCTGTGTAAAAATCAATTCCTAAGATAGTTCTCAGATTCTGCCTTGACTTGGCTTGTTTAGATTGTAAACTCCCCATGGGAGAGAATTTAGCACCCTCTGCTCACATGGCTTCTAGCCTTATTGCAATCCCTTCTTGGTTTGCCTGATAGCCACTAGTGTAAGAATAACTAGGTACAGAAAGTTCAAAGCCAAAGTGGGACACAGTCCAGCTCTACATAGAGGGAGTAGAATAACTCCATCCTGCCAAGCTTCAGAGAACTAGAGTTCAGTTCTCATCTCTTCCTGCTCCACTTCGTAGGAGATTTGAATGTGAGAAAAGCCCACCATGCCTGATCTTCTTCCTCCTATTTTCCCCTTGGGAAGTGATCATAGAGTTCTGATCCCTTACAAGCCCTAGTCTGCTGTAGTGAGAATCAAATAAAAGGAGAGACTCCCAGGTCAGGGGTTGCTATCTAGCTCCTGCTTAAGATCAGGGTGGTATGTGGTAACCACATTTCCTCATTACATGGGGAAATGACAGGTTAGAAAGATGGATCATGCCAAAGTCCCTGGTAATATCTTTGTATATATTCATTGACTGAAGTTGGATCTGGTGATAAACTATGGCTCATTATTGCATTAATGAGCCTTGTCCTTTAGTGACACAGTCCCCACCTCCTTTGGTGCAGCCGTGAAGAGGAGGTTAGAAGTCTTCACTTCCAATTTTTGTTAACTGCAGTTTAGTGCTATGGGCTGCCTGAATCTAGCTCCTCTCCCAAGAGAGAAGATGACATGCACCACACCAGGAAACCTCTGTTGCTGTGGCTGCCAGCATGTTTTCACCCCTGCTCCCATGGTGGGGACAAAGAGAGCCTCCTAACATAAGCAGGGACTTGGACTTAGTGAACCCTAAACTGCGGTCAATCATAGATTTAAATATAGTTTACTGAAATAAGTCAATTCCAAAAACCACTGTTTGTTCAGATTTAAACATAATGATAAACTGTGGTTAGTTGGTTTTTTTTAAATTAAAAACTTCCGATCTCCTCATGGGTCTGCTGGAGTATGACAGTCCAAGGCTTGCCCAAGCTCATTCAAGTAAGAATGAACCAATGTCTGAATGCAGCCATTTGCTCTAAATTCCATCCTCATACAGGTGGCACTTGGGAGTGCATCGCTGACATACAACTGTGGCAGGGCTCACACGGTTAATGTATGGCAGCTTTTTAACCTTCAGACTGCAGGGACCCTTGTGAAACTCCAGCCTGAATAATTATTTCACAATAGAGGAGCCGATTTCTTTTTTAAGAGAAAACCAAAACCAAAGGAGCAGAATACAATGGAAAAAAGCTTTAATGTTCTCCTTCTGAATCTTCCCTCAAATCAATATGTGTTTATAGTGAGTGAATAAAGTAGGATAAATGAAGAACAAGATTTCCAAATCAAATGAGCAGAAGATTCTGCTTCTACATGCTTTGCTTTCTCTGTCTCCTTTTCTCTCTCTGTATAGCAGTGGTGGTGAAGCAAACACTGTACATTTGTAGTTGTTCTAAGGCCTTGTTGACAGCTGGGAAAAAGTTTTGAGACCTGACAGTTAACTAGATCCATATTCGAGTGCTGAAGAGGAAAGCACCAGAAAAGCAGTTTCCCCCTCTACTTTGAAATGCTCAAAGGTTGCCTCTCAAAGAACTCCATTACACAGCACAACCACAAAGCCTTTATGTTCCAGCCAAGGTACACAGACTTGATGCCTCCCGAACTCCAGAAAGAGGTTGTGACAGCACGAAAGGGAACAGGCTGTCAAGGATTTTAAGCCTCTCTTCCAGAGACCATCAGAAATCAGAAGAAAGTAGCTGATCAGAGGCACAGCAGGTGATGGGGAGATAAGAAACAGCACACTAAGTCTGTTGGAATCCATTTTTAAAGCCCCCTCCCACCATTACCCAGGAACTAGGTTGTTGCTGACCAGGACATGGTATTCTACCCAACAGGTACAAAAAGAAGCATATGTTCAAACCTTGGAAGAAGTGCTATGACTGGAGTAATGATGCATATGAAATAAAAGCTCGCCTGCGACATCTCAAACTCCATAATCCAGTAGGGATTGGTGGGAGGGTTGCAGATAACACATGTGGCATTGTAGATGGTTGAGAAAATGAAGTACAGAAGAATGCTCACAGTGATTGTAATTCCATGGGACAGAGTCTGTGGACAAGATGCGAGGAAAGGAACCATTATGGCAGCAAGTTTGGTCACCAGGATTCCAGTACATGAGAAAAAGCAACAACTGCAAATGTTCATGCAGAAGGAGCCAGATATTGATGTGCGCATATATATATATATATATATATGCGATTAACAAACTAGAATATTTTTCATTTATGTGGCAAAACATTTCAGCTTCCGAAACAAGGACAACTCCATTGTGCAAGTGAAGTCCTTTCACAGGGATTGCACTGATGGGACTCCTTAGCTGAATCCTGTTCTCTGTTTTGTTAATCACAATAGCATGTTTATTATTTTGGAGACTAGCCAAATCTTAAAAGGGATGCAGAACAAGCTAGCACAGGGTACATAAGTTATGATAATCATTTCTAAAAGCAGGCAATCAGAAAGCTATAATAGTTACTGAAGGCTTTATCTACATACCCATGTTTGAATTTCTAAAGCTTGGTGAAACAGAATAGTAAGGAGAGCGACTGTATTGATTGTTGTTCCAAAGCGGAAAATGTCAATATCGGAATCAAGATATGCCTGGAAAACAGAAATAGTTGTAGGCTTATTGACTGACACAATTTTTGTTTCATTAAGAGCCGCTTAGAGAGTGCCTTAAATACTTACTAGATAAGGGACAAAGAAGCAGATAAGGCTCTGATAAAAAGATTCCAAAATGGCAACCCAGAACGTCAGAGGCTTGTAAACCTGCAGCAAATCATAACACAAAGAGAAACACTTGATTTTCAGTCAGAGGGGTTTTTTTTTGTATTTAATGTGGCAGTTGAGTCCTCTGTGAAAAAAGAGAGTCAAAACTCTCCAGTTTCCCCCTCCTTGGGGAAGCCATCAGGGAGGAGAATAACTAGACTGAAAGCTTTCCTTTTACAGCACTGGGCTGTAAAAGCACCCATTCAGGCATAAACTGCGTGGGATGGCCTTCAGCAAGTCACAATCCCCCAATTTATGTACAATGGGGCAATTGTGAGGATAAATGAGATATGGATGGTAAATAACTTTCAATACAAATAGTACCATGCACATGAAAAATAATAAATAACCTAAAGTTTCAGAATAAAACAGAATCCTATTGATGTACTTTATAAAACCAGAGAATAGGGTACAGAACATTATGTTTTCTAAAATGCTTCTGAAAATTCTTATTCTTCACATATTTAGATCTCATTGCATTTCTTTTCCCAGTGCAAGAGAAGTCACCTGAAGTGACTGTAGACTGTAGCCAAAGTTCATTACAGTTTAGGTGGAGTAAGACTGCACAGAGGGAGGCTGCTTAACCCTCCCCACCTTAAAATTGCCCTCCCCAAACTGCTTTTTCACCCACTTCGTTGAAGGATATGTGAAAAACTATAGGGACTTGTGAGGCTTCCTTGAGCAAGAAAGGTGTACCTCTGAGTTTTGTCCGCTCTTATAAAGACCAGGCAAGCTCAGCAGAGTTCCTGCAGAAACATCTTTATCTAGGACTCCGGAAAGTATTGGTGGCACAGAAGTGAAAAACAAGTTGAAGAAGATCATTTGCCAGTAGTCTATCATGGCGGCCCCAGAGAATGCACAGAAGAACTGGTACCAGAACAGCAGGTTGACGTAGGTCTGGTGGGAAAATGTTTAAAAGGCAAAATACATTAGCTGTTTGTGTTATTCAAGATATTTCCACGCACACTTTCTTACATGTGTACAGATGATAAGCTCCTAGAACACGTTACAGCCTGCGCTGTGACTCAGTTAATGCTTAAGTACTTTGATTTAAGGCAATTCAGTCCAAGTGACTTCAAAAAATCCAAGTATTTGATCTTAATCAGGTTTTTGATCAGTCTGAGAAGCTAACTACAACTGAGCTCTGAAATTATTTTTAAAAGAGAAATGCAGCATTGGGAGTGGGGAATTTAAATAAAAAGTGAGGGAAAGGGTGCTTGACTGATATTTCTGTATGATATTATTGCCTCCTTTTTCTTCTCTCTAAATCGTCCCCAAGTTGCTATTCCTACCATGAACTTCTAAAAGTGTGTTTGCGCTACGTTTTGGACTACCATAGACAGAAATTGCTGCTGGGGAAATTTAGAACGGGGAAGCAGCTGGTGGGTAAAAGGTTTGAGAACCTTTTGCACTAACACACCCACTTTCTCCTGAAGCTCCAGGGACAATGCACCCCCTACACCAGCCTAACGGCCTCCAGCAAGTGGGTCTTGGGGTGGGTGTGTTAGACTTGTTTTCTTAGTAGCAAACATCTGTTCAGTGGTACCTCAGGTTACAGATGCTTCAGGTTACAGACTCCGCTAACCCAGAAATAGTACCTTGGGTTAAGAACTTTGCTTCAGGGTGAGAACAGAAATCACATGGCAGCGGCATGGTGGCAGTGGGGGCCCCCATTAGCCAAAGTGGCACCTCAGGTTAAGAACAGTTTCAGGTTAAGAATGGACCTCCAGAACGAATTACGTTCTTAACCCCAGGTACCACTGTATGCAGTTAGCCTTATGTGCTGATGGCCAGGAACCATTTATTTGCTATTCAAAGGTTGTTTTCACAAATTTAATCTCTGCTCTTGGAATAGCTCTTCAGTTTAAACATGTTCAACACCTTTTTTGAATAGAATACAGAAGTGAGAAAACGGGAAAAGGAGAGAATATATAGTGTGTGAGAGACCAAACTGCAGGTGGAAAGCTCCCAGTGCAAAAGAAACAACTCTTATGGATCTTGTTGGCAAAGAAGGCAAACTACAACCCAAATATTGCTGTTCCAGCCGACATATTCCTGTTCACAGGAATGGGATATCTAATAGAGAAGGGTGAGTTCATGTAATACCTACCACCGGATCATTTGAATAAGGTGGGTGGGACTGCATTAGACACAATCTTCACTGTATCTTCAAGACAGCACAGAGAAACAATACATAGAAAAATAGTATCAAAAGGGAAAATGGAATCCACAGTGGATGAGAGGAGGGGGAAATGTGGGCTTTTGAAAAGGAAGTGATGGGAAGGGAAGACTCGTGAAAGGAGTTTATTAAGGTGATACAGCTCTGATAGTTCCCATGGAAGACTTGCTTCTCTTCTACTCCTTCTCAAACCTGAGCTTTGGATCTCTAAAAAGTGTGATGTTTCATGTTACCTCCCTTATGGAAATACATGACTTGAAAATGGAGGTGTGGGATGTGTATTCAACAGTGCTTTTTCATTATGTTGGTAAAGCTGATTACTGTTATTGCTAATTGCTAGCATGTGGCTCTCATCAAATTAAGTGTATTGGCAGGCTTTTCAGCCTAATACAGAGCCAAGTCCCATTCCGAGTAGTTATAATTTACTATTCTGTATGCAGAAACACAGCCAGGATGATACCTATGGTTGTCAGAACATTTTTTCCCTTAAATCATTATTATTTAAGATAGGGGATTATGACTTAGAAGTGTCTCCTTCTCAGCTTTTGAGGAAAAAATGGGAACAAGCCTATGTAGTCAACTTAAGGGCCAATTTGTTTTTATTGTGCCTTTTTATTGGATGGTTATTCATCATTTCAGGCTCTGAATGTGATTTTTAAATGGAATGTTCTGTATGGTATTTTTGGAGCTTGTAAGCTGCCTGGCATGGATCCTTAATCAGTACAAATATGAACCTTCATTGTCCTCATCATCTGTGGCTATGAGAAGAAAGCATTTGCAGCTGGCACAGAGGCAACTGAAGATGTCTGAAACTTACCACATTTTTATAGAAAAAGTATATCACCAGCTTGCCTAAGCGGGAATAGCACCAATGCCCATGAACTAGAAGCAACTTCTTCAAGTGCTTGAATTGAGATATGGCAAAATCACTGGCCATGACAGCCTGAAACAGAAATGAAAAGAAGAGATTTATTTCCTCCGCTTTATCTGACCCCAAAACAAACCAAAGACAGGCAAACACCAACCAGCTGGGCAAAAGCAATGACTGGGAGGAAGTGCAAAATGTTTCAAGTTTGGCTTGATGTCAAAACTGGCTATGGTTTCATTATGAAACTGCAAGCGCTTGCCTTTCCAAGTCTGTCACAAGAACGTAATCACATAGAAGATGATCCTATTCCAGTAAGAGGATAGGAGCAATTTTGGATGAGATAGCCTGAAGTACTAGACACTTGGGGAAAGTGCTCAAGGATTACTATTTAATTCAGCAGTTTTCTACAGGCAGTGGAATCCTGTGTGGAGGCTGCTGGACATGGTGAGGTTTAAATCGCAACCTGCCTCTGGGTTTCCAGTGACTCAGCATCACTTCTCTGCATTATTGGGATAACAAGCGAGGCAGGGAACTGTTTCTAGCCCTGGACATTAGCATGAGGGACAGAGATATATTAAGTCAAGGCAAGCACATAAGCACTTTGATTAATTGTGAAGACAGGACATTTCACCTTGGTTTATTAGCATATTATGTCAGATAGCCATAATGATAGCTTACGTTCATGTTATACACAGAATACACCCTTCTATAAATTCTGAACGCTGATGACAAATGCCCCAGCAGTAGCTGCCAAAGACAAAGGAATAGACTTCCGTTATTATGTATACCTGCATCCCTTCTTGTCCTGAAATACCGATTCCAACATTAGCTGCCTGAATCATACTTACATCATTGGCACCATCACCTAAAAAAAGTGGGAAACAGCAATAGTTGAAACAAATCGTAAGTTAATGCAAAGGGCTATATTCAACATAGCATAAAGTTGCAGGTTCCATCTACAAGGATTTCTTCTTGCACAAATGCATGTTCTTCTGCTAAATTTGTTCTGGGTCCCCCCCCAAACCCTCTGTGGCAGACTTGGGGATGGTGCAAGGTGAGGAGAAGGGGAGGGCACCCCATTGCACTAGTGGTAATACTTACATATGTGTTGAATACCACCCTTGATGTCAAATGATTAAGAAGCCAACTTGGGTTCACACAAGAGGCTTGTTTCAGCCTGGTGGAATTATTGACTCACCCCCTTTTGGACAGCTGGATGCCCCCCTCACTGCAAAGGCATGTCACTAGCTGCTTTTAAAACTCTGTTTGGCTCCAAACGCACCTTGTCAAATGGCTTGGGGTCTACTGCTTGAGTAAATTAACCATATATAGCCTCTTGAGCTCATGAGTCGAGTTCCTCAATTCTTTGGAACTTGGCTAAAATGCCTCTATAAAGTTGTTGTGTTACAGCAATACCTCAGAGCTGTGATCAGTTAAATATTACGAGTAAGCCACTTTACACTCACACCTGACATCACATTTCAAACAATCTGGTATTGCTGAAGGCTGATTTACACATGCACATCACTTGACAACTTGCGCTTAGACATGCAAACAGCTGCTATTGACAATAAATGTGCATAATGGTAGATGAGGCGATATTTAACAGTTGGTGTTAGATCTGTGATGGTGTTAGATCTGTGATGGATGCAAGTTAGTACACAATGTGTCGCTGGTTCCTCTGAGTAAATGGACATTAAACGAAGTGTGGCAGAGCAGGACATATTTGCCCCTCTGGTGTAGGATGCGAGATGGCTTTAGCGTTCACATTTCAAGCTAAATAGCAGCCAAGTCATGAGATCATGATGCTCAAATGGCAACTACTCACCTATTGCCAATGTCATAACTTTCAGCTGACCCCGCACAAGTTTGACCACCATGCTCTTCTGCAAGGGGGTACACCGGCAGCATAAAACTGAACGGCTGTACTTGGTTAGTTCCAGAAACTTATGCTCAAGTTGTCCCTGGAAAATGGTATTCAGAGTTCTTCCATCAACCACCAGACCAATTGCAGGATCTGCAGTCACAGTGGTGGACACAGAAAATGGCAGCTTGATGCCAAAAACAGTCCAAGATATCCCTTGAATGCTTTGTGCCTTCTTCACTTCTTCCAATGTAATATCCAACAGTGATTCACAGGTTTCCTATGAAAAGAGAGTTGTGTAGAGTTGTATTCTCCATTGCACTATAAGCAGGACTTGTTCCATTATTAGAAAGTTTTGTGCTAACCTTCCCCCCCCTTTTTAAAAAGCCCACAGCCTTTCATTTTGTTTGAGTATCCCAAAGACTGGTGAATCTAAACCAAGTGTTGACTTACCAAAGCCTTCCAACAAGTCACTTTATCAAACGTTTGATAATGATAATTTCAATTTACTTCTAATACCCTTTTTGAACTTAACTAAGTCATGACTTATCAATGCATCCATAATTTGTAGCTAATTTGTATTATACTAATTATTAGCTTGCTTATTTATTTATTTATTTAAATATTTATCTACTTCCATAAAACATAAAGCACCATTTAAAAATAATAATGAAAAATACAGATTTTCATTAAGGTGACTCTCTAATAAAAAATATAAATTAAACAGCTGCAAAGGCCCATTGGCATGCCCTTGTTTTACAATTTGAGAATTGCCTTGTTCATTTATTGTTTATAGGATATGCTATTCCTCAGGGAATACATAGAAGTAATTTTAGTAAGTTGATAGCAAATGCATTCAAACCGATATCATTGCATGTATCTGAATAGACCATTCTACTGTATATAAATGTAGTAGCATAGCTGCTTTACGGTCTGATGATTAAATTGATTCACTGGAATAGGTGCTCAAAGTATTAGATGATAAAGATCCCATATCAGTACATTCCTTGTTTAGGGGCCCAATCCCAGTACTAGAAATAGATGGATCACTCTATTTCTGGTCTGTGTTAATTTTGGATGAATTCATTCATTCATGTCTGCTCTGTCCTGCTTCCACATTCATCTGCCTTTCTCTGTGTTTTAAATCTCCCTAAAAGCTAGTAAACACACATTTCAATATGCATTTTATCCCTACATGGTATTTAAATAAACATTTTATCTCACATTTCTAAATGTATTTTATCACAAACTACATTTTAAATATATTTGGTATGCTTTTAAAGTTGAGAAGTGTACTGCACCCACTGGATAAGAGTAAAATCTGAAGGGTAAGGATGTTTTGGTCTGCAAATTAGTCTGGGAGCTTTGATCAAGTCAGAAATTGAATTTTCAGCACCACTGATAGCTCTGCCCTGAACTATACATGTGACCAGCCAAGCAACAGGTGCCTGTCACATGGGGGATGTCAAGCCCACAGGTGCTTGATATCCCCTTCCCCAGATTTCTGCAGTAAAAGGCAGACAGCACAAACCTGTGGTTTACTGGGTTGTTGGTGGTCCTTCAGATTTGGCTGCTGAGCTACATTTGACTTGGTGGGTCACTAGTTGTGCAGGCTTGCCATAAGCATCTCCTGCAGGAATGAATTAATTGGAACAGGGTAAAGGCAACATTTCCAGTTTAATTGTTGCCAGTGAAATGTTATCTAGCAAGTAGGCTTGCCACACGCTCTTATTTCATAGGACAGTTACTTATTTCATATACAAATCTAGCAAGGGACAGATAGCAAGCCTTCTAGCTAGCAAAACCTCAACGCTATTTGGAGACAAGGCTTTTTACAAATTGCCAAATAAGTTTGAAATATTAAAGCCAAATGTTTGTCTTTCATGCCTATACAATCTTCCTGAATTCCAATAATACAGCATAGTACAGCTTCAAAAGGATCATTTTCCAAATAACAGTTTGACCCATGTTTTTCACTTTAATGCTGCATTAAAGATGAAGGAGGGATGCAGGTGGCGCTGTGGTCTAAACCACAGAACCTAGGGCTGGCTGATCAGAAGGTAGTGGTTCGAATCCCCTCAATGGGGTGAGCTCCCGTTGCTCGGTCCCTGCTCCTGCCAACCTAGCAGTTTGAAAGCATGTCAAAGTGCAAGTAGATAAATAGGTACCACTTCAGCGGGAAGGTAAACGGCGTTTCCATGCACTGTTCTGGTTCGCCAGAAGCAGCTTAGTCATGCTGGTCACATGACCCAGAAGCTGTACGCAGGCTCCCTCGGCCAGTAAAGTGAGATGAGCGCCGCAACCCCAGAGTCATTCATGACTGGACCTAATGGTCAGGGGTCCCTTTACCTTTACCTTTAAAGATGAAGGAAGCTTGCATGGCAGATCATTAAACAAGTCGTCATAGAGTCCCTTGCAGGCCATTTGGACTCACCTTACTTTCAGTATTAATGGTAAAGACTGTGTCTCTTTGGTCCAGAAGTTTGCAAGAATATGCAATGTTAACTGCTGTTTCCTGCTTATCTCCAGTCAGCACCCAAATCTGGATCCCTGCCTCTCTGAAAGCAGCAATGGTATCAGGCACTCCATCTTGCAGCCGATCTTCAATACCAGTTGCTCCTGGTAAAACGGAAGAATGGGGAACCAAGCTTTGACTGAGCATGCAGAGTGCACTTTGCATACAAAACTACACAGCACTGTTACAAACCTGCCCGTTTATTCACCTGTTGCAACAGTTGCTATAAAAGATAAAGGAAAAGTAACTGAAAAGATGTAGGAAAGTAAGTTCATGCAGTTTTTCCGCTGCATTTTCCCTCAAAGGTTCTTCAGGGCTAGAAATCCTCAAAGGGGCAGACTCTGTCACAGAATCATTGTGGGTGGTGATACCAGGCCCCAAGAGTAATTCACTACTGGGGATGTGCTATCATCCCGCTGATCAAAATGCCCATGGAGATCTTGAGATGAAGAACAAAATCAAGAGAGCATCCAAAAGAGGAGACATTGTAGAAATGGGGGACTTCAACTACCCTCACACAGAATGTCAACGTATGTGTTCTAGCCATGACAAAGAGGTAAAATTTTGAGAAACCCTAGAAGACTGTAGCCTACAACAGTTGGTACTGGAACTGACCAGAGCAGGGCAACCCTGGTCTCAATACTGAGTGGTTCCCAGGACCTGCTTCAAGAGGTAGGCATTGTTGAGCCAATTGGGAGCAGTGATCCTTCTCTGTTTCTGGGAACAGGTTTTAGCATGCAGAGTTAGTTAATTTGTTCCTACAACAGCCTTTGCATGCGAGAAAAATAGAGAATCTGTTGTGTGTGCAGAACTAAGTTTAGATTCAGCTCATTATACACATAATTTGTGCCAGCACTTAAGCATCAGTGCACAGAACTGCGCAGGTAGTAATCTTTTTGTTTTTTTCACCTGCTCATAATCACCAGATCATAACCTATGTCTTTAAAGATGTCATAGCATCACAAGAAAGATACAAAACTGAACTGAACATTGACCCTTTTAATTCACTAAACAGATCAGCTACTTGTCACATTAAAGAAAGTAGGGAGGTTATATTACATTTCTAAAGAAAGAGGTGGATTTGCCCTGCCAGACCTAAAACTCTACTATGAATCAGCTGCTTTTTGTTGGCTGAGAGAATGGCTGCTACTTGAAAACACTGATGTGTTGGACCTAGAAGTTTTCAATAATGTATTTGGTTGGCATGCATATTTGTGGTACGATAAGGTAAAAGTACATAAAGCGTTTAAAAATCATATTGTTAGAAAAGCATTGTTTAATGTATGGATAAGATATAAAGATTTGTTAGAAAAGAAAACCCCAAGATGGTTGTCACCAATGGAAGCGAAGGCACAGAAAAAACTCAATATGGAGGCCAAATGGCCGAAATATTGGGAAATTCTGGAAAGAGAGGGAGACAGATTACAATTGCAGAGCTTTGAAAAATTGAAAAATAAAGTGCGAGATTGGCTCCATTATTACCAAATAATGGAGGCATATAATTTGGACAAAAAAGTTGGTTTCCAGGTGGAAAAATCAAAATTGGAAACAGAATTGCTAGATTCCAAAATTAAGAATTTGTCAAAAATGTACAACTTGCTGTTGAAATGGAACACTCAGGATGAAACGGTGAAATCAGCTATGATTAAATGGGCACAAGATGTTGGACATAATATAATGATGGATGACTGGGACCAGTTATGGACCACAGGTATGAAATTTACGGCATGTAATGCCCTAAGAGAAAACTTAATGAAAATGATTTATAGGTGGTACATGACACCAGTCAAACTTGCAAAAATTTACCATTTGCCCGAAAATAAATGTTGGAAATGTAATGAGACTGAAGGCACATTCTTTCACCTTTGGTGGACATGCCCAAGGATTAAGACATTCTGGGAGATTATTTATAATGAAATGAAAAGGGTATTTAAATATACCTTCCTGAAGAAACCAGAGGCCTTTCTCCTGGGCATGGTCGGCCAATTGGTGTTAAAGAAGGATAGAACTTTTTTTTATGTATGCAACAACAGCAGCAAGAATACTCATCGCGAAGTATTGGAAGACACAAGATTTGCCCACCCGGGAAGAATGGCAGATGAAGTTGATGGACTATATGGAACTGGCGGAAATGACTGGCAGAATCCGAGACCAGGGAGAAGAGTCGGTGGAAGAAGATTGGAAAAAGTTTAAAGACTATCTACAGAAATAGTGTAAAATTAATGAATGTTAGAAAAATGTTGGAATGAAGTTATATGGCTTTAGTAGAAATATTATAAGGAATTAAGTACAGATAGGTTAATAGAGCATTAAAGGGAAAAATAAGGTTAGAATGAGTTAAGATAATTATAGGATAGAAAACAGAGGAAGATGGAAAGGAATTGCTGAAATAATTAACAGAAGTGGAATACAAAAAGGGAGGTGTGAGGAGGTCGTGGAAATAAGTGAATGAAAGATGGGATAATGAAATTGTTTGATTTATTTTATTGTCTTTGTTTTGTTTTGTTAATTTGATGTGTTGTATTGTATTTTTTTTTCTTTTTAGTGTTTAAGCTTTTGGAAAAATAATAAATATTATTTTAAAAAAAGAAAGAATGTAGGGAGGTTATATTACATTTCTTTGTTTGAGATGCTCAAAAACTAAGGTAAGAGGCTAAATGAATGCTAAAGGTAATTAATGACTGAGAGAGTAATAGCATCTCTTCTGCCAGAGGTCAGTATTAGATTATTTGCAGTGATAAATGAGAGCTGAGATAGGTCTGACTTTTTCATGTGCTTTCTTACAACTAACTTAACTCCAAATGAAGTTGCCCTTTCCTGAAGACATCATCTAGCCAGGGAAATCTGAGAGTTCTTCTGGAAATAGAAATCTGAGTGAATATTGCCACAATTTGTATGTTTGCCTGAGGTCAGGAATGGAAATCAATACAATAAATATTGAATATTAAAAAGCAAATTATTGCTTAGAGCATGGATGGCTAAAAGGTGGCAGAGGCAGTAGAGATTTATACAGGCGCAAGGGCCTTGCATTGTTTTGTCTGTACTCCTACTTGTTTTTCTGATAATGTAATGCTTCCTAAATTCTTGTTTCTGTAGCATAGAGACAAAGGCATCAAGGCATGGTGTGCAGCACATATGCACTGTAGCATGCACTCAAGTGACACTGTTTCATGCTGTGGGAATTTGGGGCACAATGACCCAGAAGACTGGCTACTGCTGACTTAAAGCAAACTAACAATTTTTTGGTAGTTAAACTATGTCATTAACTGTACTTCTAAAGGATGCGGTTATTTATAACTCTAAAGCTCTGCTTAGAGTACTCTCTGTTCCAGTGGCACATAGACTACATTTTCTAGTTCATACATCACATAGAAGTGGAGAAGGAAGAAGCTCCAGCAGCAGGGTCAGTCCAAGACATTTTGCTACCTGAGGCAGATGACAAGTGGACACCCTTCTCTAACCCTATGCAGAGAAACTGATGGGACTGGTAGTTGGGATGGCATCCTCTGCTGCACCTGTGGACAACAGGCTGGGGTGTGTGTTGTAGTGCAGGCCACATGGCGCACACTGCTCTGTTCTCCAACATATTGCTGCTGCTCCCCATCCCCTGCTGCCTGAAGTAGCTGCTTTGCTCTGCCTGATGATAGGGCTGGCTCTGGCCAGCAACATCACTTAGAACTGTAGGCAGGTAAGTTCTGTGAACCTCACTTTGTACATTACAATTAAAGTAATAAATTACTTCTGCAAAGCACACAAAATGTTCTAATTTTACAATGCATAACTGAGGAAAAAACTTACAGTGTAAGTTAAGGCTCTGCAACTGTATGTGTTTAAATGTATACAACATGCATACATATACAGTGGAAATGGATCAGATAAGACGAATTTAACTGAGTTTGCAGGAAATGCTATTGCATCCTTTCAAAACTCTAGCTCAAAAGAGCAAAACGGTGATTGAGATAGGACAGAAGGTTCACCTAAGATGATTGCGGTTTTGCTTATAGGCAAGATAACATATTCATGGATCAAGCATATATTTCACATCATGAACTCACTGGCAAGCTTGTAGATACTGTTGCTATCTACATACATAAGTATAGGTGGGCTTTGTATGTTGTTACATCAGGGTTGGGGAACCAGTGGCCTTCCAGATATTGCTTGGTTAAAACTCCCATCATCCCTGACCATTGGCTACACTGGTTGGGTTGATGGGAGTTGGCATCCAGTAACATCATGAGGGCAACAGGTTTTCCACACCTGCCTTATTTAATTTGCAAAACTATGCAGGAAGATATTGAAGATGAAATTTGTCATAGACTACAATGTTAACTTCATTTCAAAGGCTGAGACTAGTTTTAAAATTGTGACTCACTTCCAAGTAAATGTGCTTATGATTGGATACAGGCAATTCATCCCTTTAAGTTGCCAAGGATATATCATTACACTCTAGCGTGTAATGAATTGTCTTAAAAGTTACCTAGTAATGTGAGTTTCGTCTCCAGATGTTGCGCAGTCTGCATGAGTAGCTCATCTCTGTTGTCAATAGCCGTTTCTGCCTCACGACGAAAGTTGGCCCATATCTGAAAGTCATCTTCACTCAGGACCTAGTACAACACATGCTCACAATTACAGATGGCAAAGACATTCGGTTCCTGCAGTGTGTTGGATTGTTTGAAGTAAATGTTTCAAACACAAATGTTTCTATCTGACATTTAGCTTAGTCAAGAGTGTTCTGGATTGGCTGAACCAGGGTGCAGTGCCACAAAGCACCACAGCCAACAAGCAACATGATATAGGATTGCAGTTTAAGGTTCAAGCACATTTCCTTGGGAGTAAATCTCATTAAACTCAGCATGCTTACTAAGAAGTGTGCTTCAGTGAGTAAATTGCAATCCTATATCCATCTGGAGGTTGGCCCCACTGAACACAATGAGACTTATTTGGCTTGGGATGTTGTTCTGGCATCCAGAGAGTGTGGGAGAAAAAGAAAGCTGTACAGACTTGTAGGAATATGTTGGGAATGCAAATAATGGTTTCAAGTCTGAGCTATAGTTGCTGCAAATCATGGTTTAACGCAATGCCTGAAATAATTCTAAGAATGAGATGCAAACTGACTTCTGTGTCATGATGAGCAGCTTCTCCTCCCCCCACCAAACACCCATTTCAGGATAATGTGAAATGTTAATAGGAACATTAAAACCTAAACAACCCTTCCCTTCTTCCAGCTCATTGGCTCCAGACCATAATCTACAAATGATGATCTCTGGAGCAGCCTTGGAATGCTTACATAAGCGGTGATGGGAATTCTTCACTGCTACTCTAATACAGCAGAAAGAAGCTGCAGGTTTCAGGCCATTTATATCATGATTAATCAGCATAGGAGGAGTACAGAAAGCTACATGAAAGAGAATATTTATTTGATTAGGGATTTCTAAAAGCAGTCTGGAAAGAGTCATAAGAAGAGCAGAAGCAGAGCATTGGTTCTTTAGAGTATTGCCCCTTTTAGTAAGATTGTTCAGACGAAGGAAATAAAAAAAAATCTTTTGCTTACCTTCTTAGCGATGCATAGAGTTCTCAGGCCATCTTGTGCATAGAAATCTAAATGTTTCTGTGTTTGATCTCTGACTTTTCTTATTTTCTTTTCCATGTCTAGGTTAGCTGTGAAACACAAGCAGATTGATGCTTATTCCAGTTACAGATTATGCCAAATCACCATCTCACACCTGTAAAAGCATGTTAATATTACAAGGATCTCTTCCAAGCCCATAAATGTGAAGTGTGTTGTCTCTGGTGCATAAATGTCATATATTGTCAGAGCAGCAGAGCTGCTTTAGAAGCCCCCCTACTGTGCTCAACCAGATATCACTTTCCTCTTAGGACCGAGTTCTTAGAAGACATCTATCTATCTATTTATCTATCATCTATCTATCTCTATCTATCTATCTATCTATCTATCTATCTATCTATCATCATCTATCTATCATCTATCATCTATCATCTATCATCTATCATCTATATCTATCTATCATCTATCTATCTATCTATCTATCTATCTATCTATCTATCTATCTATCATCTATCTATCTATCTATCTATCTATCTATCTATCTATCTATCTATCTATCTATCTATCTATCTATCATCATCTATCTATCTATCATCTATCTATCATCTATCTATCTATATTGCAGCAGAAATGGTCATTGATTGACACTGATTTGCTGGCATCCATAATGCTAAAAAGAAGCTTTTTTCACCTCAACTCCTGGAACAATATAACAAAAAATCTTTCCCTGTTTTTGTAAATAAAAAAAGAAATGAATGACTGGATAAGCAGGTACACAGAACTTGTGAAACTTTAAAATAAGCAAGTATTACAGCAGGGATGTAACACTCCATATGTTGTCAGACTCCAAATCCCATCAGCCCCAGCCAGCATGGCCAATGGTCAGGGACGATGGGAGTTGTAGTCCATGAAAACCTGGAGGACCCAAGCTCCCAATTTCTATCTTACAACCTGCATGAATCATAGGGGGAAAGGCATGCCTCAGTGAGATCCCTCAGGATCCCTTCCACACTACAATTCTATGATTCCATATAATGCAGCATTAAGTCCTATTGAAATCACCCTTTCAGCACTTAATCGTAGAGGGACTTTAGTGTACTTGCTTTTCTCTAGCCTGGGACCACTATAGTTGACATCTCACTGCTATATGGGACTTGTCCAAATGTCCGCTTGTCCCATCACTAGAAAGCATGAGTCTAAGTAGTTTTCCACTTGTCCATGCTTTCTAGGCATGGATCCAATCAGTTCTGCCCTTGCCCCACTGCTTTCCCCAGGAAAACCCGCTGTTTACTGATAAGTCAATATGGAGAAAACCCAATCTGGAGCAAAAGTCAATCTGGAGAAAACCCGATTGACATTTGCTCCAGTGCAGCAGTAAAAAACTGGTTTCTCCAGGGGGGAGCTGCAGGGCAAGGGCAAGTCTAGATGTCGCTGCCTATCTGTCCCAACAGTTAGAGCATCACAGTGTGCAAGATAATTGTGGTATTATTGCAGATCTCATAAAACCTATTCATTATGGCTTCCCAATTAGGCTGCTCTACATGATATACACCAGGGGACAGCAAACTTTTTCAGCAGGGGGCCAGTCCACTGTCCCTCAGACCTTGTGGTGGGCCGGACTATAATTTGAAAAAATAATAATGAATGAATTTTTTGCCCCACAACTAACCCAGAGATGCATTTAAATAAAAGCACACATTCTCCTCATGTAAAAACACCAGGCAGGCCCCACAAATAACCCAGAGATGCATATTAAATAAAAGGACACATTCTACTCATGTTAAAACAAGCTGATTCCTGGACCGTCTGCAGGGCGGATTGAGAAGGCGATTGGGCCAGATCCGGCCCCCGGGCCTTAGTTTGCCTACTCATTCTCTTTCTGCACTACAACTTGCATGGTTAACACTTTTGCTTCCATTGTAGTTTTGTAGATGGAATCTATATTTCATGCAACCTAGGCTACACATTCTCAATAGATAGTTTCTTGGCGAATGCAAAAAATTACCTCTGGAAGGTTCTTCCAATAAGTCCATTATGACAGAGTCAGCCCCTTTGGTGTAGACAATTATTTCACCAGTATGGGGATGCCTCACCACCACCGACATTCTTTTTCTGTTGGAGTCAAATCCCAAAGTGAACAAGAGGTCAAAGGTCAGGAGGGTGCCCTCTGGCAGCCTCACAGTCACTTGTTCAGCAGTCCTGGACACTAATGTAAACTGGTAAGCCCGGGCTGCATGGACAAGGGCAGCTTCATCTGGGCTTTCAGCCTCATAACAAAACTCTATTTGGGAAGCTCCCTGGTAAGCTGCCCCACAGATCTCTGCTGGAGTGGGATCGCTGTCCCCAAAGGTGTCTTTCTCAGTGATTGAATCTCTTCTAAAACTGTAATCATCTGCTAAAGTGGAACAGCTTTGAGAAGAAAAATAATCTTTTGTTTCGGAGTCAGCACAGACTCTGGTGGTTTCTGTAGTCAAACTCTCTCCTAAGTCTGAATTTGACTGAGCTGATGAAAGAGACTGGCTGAGGCTTGCCAGCTTTAGACGCTGGAACAGCTGGTGAATTTTCTCCAGGGATAGTGCTGATGGTTTCATCGGTGACGGAATGGTAACCTTGAAAGAAAAGAGGGAATCAGGATTAATTATAGCTGAAATTATGTACTACAACACAAGGGGGGCATTTTCTAACAAGTAGAACACTGCTATCACCATACGACAAAGATGTATGCGTCAGGTGATGTCTCTAGATACAATGAGGGGCTCCTTAAGGGAGCATCTAGATTTAAGATGGGTTTTGTTTGTTTGTTTGGTTTATATTCTTAGTATCAGAGAAGGAGATGAGCAAAGGTACAGAGATAATTAAACAGCAACATGTACCTTTGAGAACCCTGCCATATACAAAAACAAGGCTGTCAAGCAAGCTATTTCAAATCAATGAATTGCCTCACTTTTAACTAGTTACTCAGTTAATTAATCAATTTGCATATATTAATAGTGCTTTTTCTGGTGATCCTAAATGAAGGCGACAGCTATTCTTCTATTATGTGTTCACAAAGAATTTAAGAAAAGAAAAGGGGCAGAAGGCTCCCATTCATTGGCTGGATTCTGAGATGGGTGTGTGTAATGAGGCTGGAGGAAGCTGACGTTCCCTTCCTGTTATCCTCATGGCAGCCCCCAGTCCCCAAAGGCTACACTGAGGCTTAGGGGACCCTGCTGGAAGTCCTGAGGTTGTGTATTTAAACTAGTGATTTCTGAGTTATGATTATCCACCCACCCACCCACCCTGTGCCCTTCAGGCATAATTTAAAACATAACATACCCTTCTAATGGGTATCTATGGCTTATTCATAACATTCAGAACCTCTTTTTGCAAGGCATGGAAACAAGTGGGTGGCACTGGGGTTATTTGGAGTAGGAGGAGGTTGAGCTCTATACGCCTTGGCTCAAGCAAGAAGCTCATAACAAAAAATAAAATCTGTTTTACAAAGGAAGCAACTACCCTGATGAACTGGAATGCATTTAGAAGCTGCAATTAAGACTTTAATCATTTAATCATGCCAATTAATCAATTGATGTTTGCAGCCATAATCAAGAAATATAGGGGAATACTATTTCACTTTCAAATTAGCATATTCCTTAGGGACATGAGGATAAGTTGTTAGGCAGGAATACAAAGGGAGACAGAGAGAGGATTCTGCAGAATTATTGCAGACTAAGGGGGAAACCCCCTACCCTTTTTTAATCTTCCCCTCAAAAGCAACTTTTTTTTTACCTCCCCAAGTAAGTTGTCATCATAAAGCTCTCAAGTCTTTTATTAAATTCAACTCATTTCCTCAAAGAGATGTTAAAGTGAGAGATTACCCTTTGTCTTGGATCGGTTGCTGTGGAGACCACAACAGTGTTGCAGAGGGTCAGAGCAAGAAAAAAGTCTGTAATGGAGGAGGTGGTCTTTGCAAACATAAATGGTGTCAAAGGTTCAATCTGGCACGATGCATTTCTCACTTTCATCAGCAGCCTGTTATCTGGGGTCACGTCCTTCTCCTGGAATACATGTTACTCAGTTAAAAAAAAAATCTTCACATTGTTAGGATTGTGCGAAAAACAACCTTCTGCTGGGTGTTCTAGAGTTTCAAAGAACATTGCGTGTACAGAATCACAGTGTTATTATCAGCTTCAAAACCAGCAGGTGCTAAAGCGTCAGAGAAATGGCAGGGATTGTGAGAAGGAAATTAGACCCATAGCCCACCCAATGCACTTTGCCGCCTGAGGCAAAGGATAAGATGCCCTCTCCCCAACTCCCTATAGAGGATGTCCAGACCAGCTATTCAATCTCATGGCATCCTCCACCACACCTGAGGGCAGCACAGGCTACCTTAGGGGGTTCAGGGCAGGTTGAATGATGCATATAATGTCAAAACTTTGCTTCTCTTTACCATATCCCAGCCTTTGCTGCCTTACGCTGATGCCTCCCTCTGGTTAGGGTTGCTGGCAGCATCACTGGTGCCTCACTGCCACTCATCTGGCTGTGACAGCTAGAAGGTCCTGTCAGCCTTGGTGTGTCAAAACGTTAGCAGATGTCTGACGACACTGACTTCTGGCCTGGCAGAAGACCTTATAAGTACTAGGGCCAGAAGGGGAACTACAGCAGGGGAGACTGGCATCCTTGTCAACCAAGGTGAACGTAAGCAGGACTTGACTTGTGGATTGTGGCCAATTTCGGAAGCTCCTTTGAGCAGGCACGGGAGAGTTCAGTTTGAATGCAGGCAAGCGTAATTTCTCTCACTTTTTCAATCCCCAACACAAGAGAGCTTTGAAAATCTCTTATGGCTAAGGATGGAGCTGCAATTCAGCGACAGTGAGAAAGAAGGGGTCACAATTGCCTGTGCAGATCTGCCCACAAGCATCTGGATCAGGATTGTTGCCTCAAGTTTTTCTTTTAAAAAGTCTGGATTTAATTTTGGCGATTCCTTTGACAGCTGCTAGTGCAAACGCTTTCTATTAAACCTCAACATCAGATGCGCTGATTTGCTGCTTATCAGATTTCTTGGCAATAGGCTTAAGAGGCAGGTGTTTGCAGGAGATGTTGTACTGACCTTTAGCCAGGAACTACTGCATCTTCTCAGCAGTATTAAATTCTTCCATTGTCATTCTACCTGAGGCTACCACTTTTTATGCCTTGCACATAGTGCTAGGAAACCTGACATTTAGTAAGCAAAGCCCATAAACTGTACTGCATGAACCTTTGGGGGTATGTGTATGAACGTGGTGTCTTTTAGCATGAATCAATGTTTTGCTTAGTATTTATAGAAACCATGACGAACATTTGAACACAGCCTGTACAATCTGTTAGTGTGCATTTTTTTAAAAAAAGAACCACACACCACAAAGGAAAACTGGTTACTGCTGTTATGCTTTAAAAATATTTAGTCTGTTGTTGTTGTGTGTGTATTTTAGCTGGAGCTTAGGGCTTATTCACACCTCCTTTTTTCTTGCTGCTTCTCTGCTGGGGAAACTGCTCTTTAGCGCTCAATTGGAACAAAAGGCAATACTAGCTTTCTCCAGATTGCCATTTGTTCTGATCTATTACTAAAGACTTTATAATTAAAAGAAGCAAAAGGTCTTACTTACAATGGTACTGCTAAATGCCACTTGAGACTGAGAGATGCCACCCAGAGATCTCTGCCTTGTGTGTCCCTGAAACCGAGCCCGAGCACTCTGCCACCTCCTCAAGGGCTTAGCAGTGCTGTTCCGCCTGAGAATTTCTCCACCATTGTTTGGAGGTAGACTCAAATGTTTCGCCCAGTCTTCAGCATCTGAATCCAACTCCTTGTACGTTTCTAGTCTCTTGGCTATAAGAGATAAAATAAATGTGCTGCATTATCACCATCATTATTTGAAGGGACTGTCAGACGATACTTCTGTCCAACTTCATGCAGACCTCCTCAAACCAGACCCCCTGAAGGTTGCAAGGCCATGATTCTGTCCTCACCAATGGAGGACAAAGTGCAGAGTTTCAGCATGTGCATGAGCATAATGTGTAGGAGCAGTGCACAAGCAGAGGTGTTAGCCCATTGGACTGGACCAGGTCAATGTAGTGTAGTGGTTGAAGAGTTGGGCTTGGATCTGGTAGACGAGGATGCAAATCCCCACTCAGATGTGAACCTTGGACCCATCACCAGCTCCCAGCCTCGCCTTCCTCACAGGATTGTTGGAAGGAGAAAAAGGTGAGGGGGAGAAGAATGTATGCCATTTTGAGCTGCTTGGAATAAAAGCAGGATATATAATAAATAAAGCAAGAATATCAGTGAAACAAGGAAACACACAATAGCCTAAGCACCTTTGTCTCTGGCATCCTGGGCTTGCTTCGCCCACTCATTTCATGCATAAAATTCAGGTTGGGAACAGGGCTATCTAGCACTTGTACCCCTACATAGCCCTGCATATAGCTGGAGAGTGGGCAAAGGGGAAGGTGGGAGTTTGCTTGTACCTCAGAGGTTGTCATAGAGCAGCAATGGAGAGTTGAAGAAATGGGTCACAAAGGTTCCAATTGCCGGAGGCTCCTCTGCTGCCAGATGGCTGTACTATGTGACCCAGCCTCCCTACCTGCAGACAGGTGGGCGCAAATCCCCTTCAAATGGCCTGGTTGTGCAGTCTACATCTCCCACCTCCTCAGTGGCTGCTGGGGGATACAGGTAAAGTTGCTCAGGAGGAGGAGGAGTTTGGATTTGATATCCCACTTTCTCACTACCCAAAGGAGTCTCAAAGCGGCTAACATTCTCCTTTCCCTTCCTCCCCCACAACAAACACTCTGTGAGGTGAGTGGGGCTGACAGACTTCAGAGAAGTGTGACTGGTCCAAGGTCACCCAGCAGCTGCATGTGGAGGAGCGGAGACGCGAACCCGGTTCACCAGATTATGAGTCTACCGCTCTTAACCACTACACCACACTGGCTCTCATAAAGTTTCTTTACATCTGTATGTGATAAACACGGCTTTTAAAGGGGGAAGGAAGCTAAGATCCTCTGTCTTCCAAAGCAACTTCCAGATTATATGGCAGAAAGACAATGTTTCACATTCAATGTAGCCCAGGGTCATAGAGACAGTGCACATGTCTTACCGTTTTCCTGATGTGAGAATTCTCTCCCATCAATTGTACAACGTCGAAACACCATCTTATTCTCCGTCAGGGTCCCTGTTTTGTCAGAGAATATGTACTGGATTTGCCCCAGGTCTTCAGTGATATTTAGTGCTCGACACTGTATGCGTAAGTCTAGCTCTTCATTGTACAGATCGATATCATTATGAATCAAGAAGACTTGACCTAGCTTCACTAGTTCAATGGATACATAGAGGGAAATGGGGATCAAAATCTGAAAGAGAACATTGCCCAGAATGTTAGAAATTCGTTGGAAGCAAGATTTCATGCTGGCTGCTCTAACAAGACTTCCTGGAGGGAACTAACTAAAAAACCCAGTAGATAAAAGTTGACAGCAAAAATGCCTTCACGTTTTCACATTGCTGTCTAGACTCCACAGTGAATGCATTGGTTGTGCTCCTAAAGCATTTGGATTGCCAGACACTAGCTAAACAGAACAAAAGGGATTTGGACATTGAAATGAACTGCTACTGAGAACCAAATAACCTTTATACAGGAATGTACTGCCAAGAGATTCATACTACAGGACAAGGATGCATGACTATGCAACAGAAGTCAGCCATAGCCAGAAAAACTTTTCATACAAGAGTGTAGCAGTTGGCTTTTCCTTGGAAAGGAGTGGGACAAGGAGTTGGCTTTTCCTTGGAAAGGAGTGGGACAAGGAGACAACTGCTTAGACTAGTTCTTTCTAGGTACGGGACAAGCAGAAGTGTGGATTAGCCCTCAGTCTGTTTCCAGGCCCAATCCAAAAGCCTGGCTTTGGCCTTCAGAACCCTTCACAGTTTGGGCACACAACATCTGAAGGATTGCCTCTTTCGACATGTACCCAGAGATTCTCATGAGAGGAATGTGTCATGACCATCAACTAGAACAATAAACCTATAGACTTGTCAGAGGAACATGTGAGGTGTGGCACCTGGTAATGAGTGAAAGAGGCTTTTCAGGAGTGGCAACCTAGTGGTAGAATGCTCTCCTCTGGGAAACCTATTTGGTGCCTAATTTCATGCCCTTGAACACCAGGAAAGTACATGTTTGTTTTTCTAGATGTTTCAAATTTTGCTACAGCCTTTACATCTTCCTAATTTGGAGAGCTTTTTGCTATGGGGTGACCTATAAATCTAGGAAATAGACATGCAGTATTCATGTGGTAATAATACACAGACATATTAACTGTATATGAGGTCAAACTCCCAGAGGTATCTTCTGGAAAGCTAATATTCATCTTAAACACAGTCTGTAAGGACAAGCTTACATTGCTCGTATTTGTTATGAAAAACAAAATGTGTCATCTCTCCCTCCCCACCCTTGCTGAATGGGCTCAGTTACATTTCTAATGTAAAATTTAGCTTCCCTTTGGAGTTCTACAAACAGCTCAGAAGGTTGTTTGTCATTCATAACCATTTTTATTTATTTATTTACATTCCATCAGCTACTACAATAAAATGGAAAATAAATGTATTTTTCTTATCTCTCACATGGGCCTCAAATATCAATATCTGGACACATCTCAATCCTAATTTATCTTTTTATCCCTACACTGATACTGATATTTAGTGTTATTATTTAGTGTCATGAGAATTATTTATTCTTTTCGTTAGCCGGTTTTGTTGAACTTAGTTGGCTGGAGTATCAGTTAGTTGAAAAGATAAAATGGAGGACAGGGCTCCTGAACTTTTAACAGCTGAGGTGAGTTAACTTGCTACTGAAAACCAAAAGACGACTATTAGCATAATGGATTAAATGGGCTCCTCTACATTTGTTTGTGAGCACCCTAACCCTAACCTTTAAGGCTGCCATCCTGGAAATTGGGATGTCAAAATGGGATCCAGGCGGATTTTCGCTAAATCAATGAAATGTCTGGGAAAACCTGGACGTATGGCAAGTAGGGCTATTTTTTTAAAAAAAGAATATTTCCTGATTTTCATTTGGGGAATATGGCAACCCTACATTTCCCCTTTCTGGTTTCTGCCCCAGCACCATATCAAATGCCACTATGGAAAATCCTCCAACCTTCAGGACCAGTGTTGTATTTATCTAAAAGCTTTAAATGGGCTGAGAGGAGCTGTGGTGAGAGACCTGATAAGTCCTAGTGTAAATGGGACATCTGGCCTTTCCTTTTATGCTTTCTCTCCAGTCCAGATTTGGTCCCTGGAGCTGTATCTTCTCCAAAGGGCAGAAGCTACTGCTACTGTAATAAGAATTACTGTAATAAGAATTTAAGGTCTTAGATATATAATAAATGTTCATAAATATACCAAGCAAACATATATAAATCACATGTCTGAAGCAGCACAGGTAGACAGTCCTGAAACCATTTTCACTCCCAAGCTGACCAAATGTTTCTCTGCAAGGAGGGAGGAGGTGAAAAAAACCTTCCTTGGTACAGGAATTTAGAAATCACCGTTTCAAAGGAATGGGCAGACTACCAGGAAAGGCAATCAGATAAGGCATTATCAGAAAACCTGGCAGACAGGAAAAACAACAACATTCAAATTTCTGTTGTAGACCACCTTTTCTGTGATGTAGGTATGATGTTTGTGGGGGGTGGTCTTGGGTTACACCCCTTCTGTGATGTATGTATGATGTATGGAGGGGTGGTCTGGAGCTCCAGGGCAGGGAATTTAAAATGTCTATATAAGGGCAGGCACACCTTGGTTCTGGGTCCTCCTCCTTTCCTGTGTGTGAGGGGAGCACCCTGTTGCAGCAGATCAATAAAGATCAGGCTTACTAGCTTCTTTGCTTCTCAATATTATCTGGTTGGCCTCTGTTATTTTCTCCTACCAATAGGGAACCCATGTAAGAACTCTTTATGGGCTCTTGGATACCTCATAAGAGAAAAAGGGCAGATTTAGTTTACAACATTACCCACATAAACCTGCATGTTTTGCTCCACAAAGCAAACAGCAGCTCAGTGATGATGTGATCTGAACGGAGAAAAGGCTACAGTGAAACAGGTAAAAACAACACCCTCCTCTCTTGGTGGGGCAGCTGTGATCTGATTCTCCCCACCCGCGTACACTTCTTCAGCCTTTTGAAAAAGTAGCAACACAGGATATCTGATCATGGGGCTCCCAAAGCAATGTCTGGTTGGGTCATTTGTTTTATATATTAGGTTTCTAGTATATAAAGGGAGACAGGAAGAATATTTCCTATAAACAAGGAGAAGCCAAATAGTCTACAGCAATGTTCTAAAGTCCTGCAGTAATATCGCAGGATGCCGCTGGGAGGATTAATGCTAACACCGAAACGTTCCTCTCAGTCCCTAATAATGTTCTGTCTGCTGGAAAAGTAAGAGAGAATTTATAGAGTACTTTTGCATGCTCAAACTGTTTCATATGATTACTTCAGTGATGCTTACAGTGAGATGGGCTGGTACATGGGTAGGCAAATTAAGGCCTGGGGGCTGGATCTGGCCCAATCGCCTTCTAAATCTGGCCCGCGGACGGTCTGGGAATCAGCGTGTTTTTACATGAGTAGAATGTGTCCTTTTATTTAATATGCATCTCTGGGTTATTTGTGTTCTGCCTGGTGTTTTTACATGAGTAGAATGTGTGCTGTTATTTAAAATGCATCTCTGGGTTATTATTTTTTCAAAATATAGTCTGGTCCCCCACAAGGTCTGAGGGACAGTGGACCGGCCCCCTGCTGAAAAAGTTTGCTGTCCCCTGGTATTTCACTTCCCTCTCCCCAAGATGGGAGGGGGAAGCTGGGAGGGAGAGACAGAGAGAGAAAGAGAGGGACAGGTTTGTCCAAGGCTGTTGAGTTAATGGCTGAGATGAGGAAATAGAATAATTTTTATTAATTTATTGGTTATGCCCCGCCCATCTGAGAACTTTGACTCACAGATAACACTCAGACTCAAAGCCACTATCATTGCTCAATTTACACAGTTTACAGCATAAGCTCATCAGTTACTTGGAAGAAAGCACCCTTGCCCCCAGCCCAATCAGACTTAATCCTCAGTCTTAAACCTATTTCCTCATTAGCAATAAATATTTTCCCACCTGTAAGAGGATTATCATTGTCAGGAACATGTAGAAACCCGCAAGAGCTGGAGCGAGATAGCTGCCATTTATATCGGGAATGACAAACAAGGGGTATTCTAAGAAGTGCCCATTCCAAATGCCATGACCTGCATAAAAATACAAACTACTTTAGAAGAAAAAGCCTGGAAAAGTGCACACTGGGAACAAGGGAGATCACTCAATTCACATACTACCTGTTAAGTAGGAACACAAACTTCAGCAGCAATCACACAGAAGTAAAATAAGAATGCATATAAGAAGCTGGACCATTTAAATCTGCAGTACAGTAGTTTAATGTGGGTGTGGCTGGGTTGCTTTGTGTGTGTGGAGATTTGCATTGCTTTGTAGATCATCCTCTAGATACCATCTTGGGTTATTTGCAATTCTTCTAAATACACAGTTGGGGTCTTTGTCAGGTTTGAAAAGTAACTGGGAGGAAGACTTATGGATAATCATAGTGGATTCTGTGTGGTCTGGGTTATGGTCTCAGAAATAATTTAAATCTGTCTCTGTACCAGTTAGTGAGACTTCTCTTAAGACAATACATAGATGGTATAGAACAGCCACACAACCTATCAACCTACAGTCCCAACTGTTGGAGAACTTGTGCTACAAAAGGCACTTACTTCCACTTATGGTGGGAATGTTCTGCCCTAAGTAACTTTCTGCAATAATTATAGAAACTATTGTTCACTTCCTAGAATCATTCACGCTATCTTTATTTCATGGCTCAAACAAGGATTTACACTCTAGGGAACTTTGACATTTTTACTGGGGAAACTCAGCCAGATGGGTGGGGTATAAATAATAAATTATTATTATTATTATTATTATTATTATTATTATGAGTGCTGTCAGACAAACTATCAGGGATGATGTAGCAGTGTATTTCCTGCATGGAGCAGGGGACTGGACTAGTCAGCCTTTAAGGTCCCTTTCAATTCCAGCATCGAACAAGGTATTCTTTCTCATTTTAAAATATTCAGAAAATAAATGTTGGGAAACTGGATTTTGTCTGAAATTAATAGGTGATTCATATGTTTATTTTTAATAGACCTACAGCTTGCTTTTTGACTAAAGTCCTCATAACAGGTCAAAATATAGTAAATATCTTTGTATTAAAATGCAATATTAAAACCCCCAAAATTAAACATTATCAACATTTTGATTTTTAAAAAGTGAAAAAAGAAGGCAAACCTGCTCTTGTTCTCTGGTAACCGAAAGGTACATCTGAAAAGCTGAGCAAAGCTGAGCAAGAAGATCTGGTGAACTTCTAGTGGGATGAAGCTTCAGAGAGCAATGCTAATTCATGTTAATATCTTTGACAAGCAAGGGTACAATCCAATGCCCATTTAACTGGGAGTGAGCCTCATTGAATGCAATGCGTTGTACTTCTGAGCATGCCTGAATTTATTTATATGCAAGCTAACAAAGTTACAGTTTAGGGCCTTCATCTTATGAAGGGCCTCTAAATAGAAAGAGTCACTTTATTTCATGTTTCATACAATTGGTTAAAAAACCAAGCCTATTGCAAGATCAGTGTTTTTGCTAGAGTGTCAATTTTTAGTTGCATCCTTGACTAGGTACCAGGATATTTGCAAATATATATAAAAAAAATTCTATTTTTATTTCCCTTTCTGTTAGAATAATACATATCTTTTGGTAATGCTATGGGGCCTCTTAAATTTAACGTAGCTTAGGGCTCCAGCATATCTCGAGCTGTCCCTGTTTCTGAATAGGCTTGTAAAGGACTGTGCTGTAAGTCACCTGCGTTTTCATCCCACCTGGCCTGAACCCCTTTCCTTTTTCTGATGAACATCCACCATCCACCCGGAAAACCGATCAAGTTGCAATGTCAGTTAAGTCAAGAAACTCATTTTGAGCTGAAGTACCAACAGTAAAATATAATAATTAAATCTGTGCTGTTGTTCAGCTGAAGAGGATTCTTCACTTCTGGGTCCTTCAGTACTAGTCTGGTTAATTGACTGGCTTATTGCCATGTCATGCCAGATTTCTCCAGGGCACTCTATGCTGGGAAAAAGAAACTCACTATGAAACCTTGCAACGCATAGTGCAGTGTTTTGCAACTCACTTGTGTATTGCCACTTAGAAACCAGGATACAATTACAAGAACCTTTACATGCCCTGCCAAATTTTTATTTGTGGAAGGCTCAATAGTCTTGTTTCCATCAGAGTTTGACACCCCAGCAAATCGTGGTCGCAGTAGGACAGGATTATTGTAAAATTGCTACAAAGCAATCCTTTTCCCTGCTACATATTGAAAGCAATTGGTTCTCTCAGCAGCAATCTAGGAAGCCCACCAAAAATAAGCTATTAATTTTAGCAGTGAAGCACATCCCTATTGCAAAGGCTTCGTGAAATGCAGGAAAAAAGTTTCCATCATTACTCCATACCTAGTGCTCCAGTGAGACACATGATGAAGAGCAGCCCCACGGAAAAGAATATATCAATATTCAGACGTTGTTCTATTTTGCTGCGTTTATAACGAGGACCTCTGTTGTTTAACATGGCTTTTGTTTCAGGGCCTTCAAGAAAAAGAAGAAGAGGAAGGAACTGTCATATGTCTTTATTATCTTAAGAATGGTTGAATGCTAGATTTAGATAAATTCATGTATACAACATTAAGTCTCACATCAAATATAAATGATCTGTAAAAAGGACTTTATGATCTGAAAATAAAGACGATGTATGTACCTTTGCAAACACATACATAAATATATAAACCACATGTCTGAAATAGTACAGGAGAACAATCCTGAAGCCATATTGACTCTCCCAAATTGACCTCAAATATTTCTCTGCAAGGAGGAAGGAAATGGGAAAAGCTTTCCAATTGTCTTTGGACTGTAGGGTCTTACGCCTCCCTGTAAATACAGTCTGGCAAGTATCTGTTAAGCTGAGCACACTATCAATATGCGTAAGAGATTCAGGAACTAAGTATTTACCATCTCGAAGGAATGGCCAGGCTACCCAGAAAAGGCAATCACATAAGGCATTATCAGGTATCCTGGCAGACAGGAGAGAAGCAACACACTCAAATTTCTGCTGGGGACCACCTCTTTCTGTGATGTACGGATGATGTTTTGGGGGGTGGTCTTGAGCTATAGGGTAGGCAGTTTCAAAAGTCTATATAAGAGCTTGCACACCAGTGTTCTGGGTTCCTCTCCTTCCTCCCTGCGTGGGGGGAGTGGGGGACCCTGTTGCAACAGTTTAATAAATATAGCTGCTTTGCTTCTCAATACTCTCTGGTTGGCCTCTGTTATTTTCTCCTACTGATAGAAACCTGCATAAGGACTCTGTACGGGCTCTTGGATACCCATAAGGGATAAAGGAGCAGTTTTTTTTCTTATAACATTCTTTACATTCATACTTGGTTATGGCATCCCCTCCCTGTAGCTAGGGTCTCTGTGATACCTCCCCAAATTTCTGGTGCATATTGCATCCAGGCACAGCAAGTGAGGGGATGCTAACTGCCATTGGCTCCCATTAGCTTGCTATTCTGGGCAATAAAGCAGCAATCTACCTAATAAAAGGAAACCTTGTCTAGGTGCTGTAACAATATTGCTATAGATCTGTGGGTGCTAAATGCTTGGGTTTAATGATTTAATTAAAACTGGTATGTTAGGACTGGTAATAACCAGGCTCATGTGTATTTACACTGTTAATCCCCTGGAATGAGCACATGTGAAGAGTTAATGAACCTAGGCACACTTCCTGTGTTGTGTATTGGACATTGTAATCTTAGCCAAAGGAACAATGGTTAATAAAGTCAGACAATAATAAATTGTCAGACAGGTAATAAAGTCACCTCTTTGTGAGGGGACTGCCTGGTGGGCATATACACTTAGGAAGTTCAGGCATCAAAGGATTAGGTGTTGGCACAACACAGGATCAAAGGAAATAGGTGTGAGAATGCAAATGTGAGACTTCCCTCTCCTCCCAGATAGAAAAGGGAAACTGAGAGGCTATGGGGTTAGAGTTGGGAATGGTGTAATCAGGAAGCAGAGATAGGAAGCGTCAGCTGGGTTGTGCCCTGCAGTGCAAAATAGGCACCAGAGAAAGGATGGCGCTGGGCTCATTGTTGCTGCTATGGCATAAGCTGGCACACAGGCTCAGGTTGCATATATGTGTAAATAAACCATATAACAAAATGACACTGTAGCCTCTATTGTGCCTCATTCCCAAAGGAAACATTAACCCTGAGCAGCATGCCTGCAACCCCTGGAATCTTGTGCAGCTACTCAGCTGGGGAGGCGTGGAACAATATATTCACTTACCACTAAAACTGTCCTCCTTATTAGAACAAATTAGTACTTTGAAAGTAACCAACAAAATACAAATCTTTAAAAAAGGATTAAAGGGGTTTGGTGAATTTACAAGAATCTTAGTCTAGTGCCTGCCCTAGGTAAATTGGTATAAAACATCACTAAGTGTATTTGGGTTGTACATAGTTTGAGTGGCATTCCTACCATTGAAGCACACACTGTTGACCAGTTCTGCCATTTACAAGAGAAGCCAGAGGAAACCAGTGTCAGGAAACTCACACTCCTCCCTGAAGCCCCTTTTCAATGTTTTAAAAATGGATTCAGCTTGTATGTATGCATGTAAAATGGGAGAGTGTATTATTTAGGCAGTAGTCCTAAACCCACTTACCAGGGAAGCAGTCCCATAGAAAACAGCAGGACTAATCTTCAAGTAAACATGCATAGGGCTGGGCTGTTGATTGAATAAATGTACATTCAGCTCTCTAAGAATAAAAAAGGGTAAGATGTCCACCTATGTGGAGAAGCTGCTGTAGAACAGCTGAAGGAAAAAAAAACTGGGACGGGCATGTATATGTTTGTACACAACCTAAGGCTAATATTGTTTCTAGGGTAGATGCCTTGCTGAGGAAGAATCCACCAGGGGAAAGCAGAGCTTTATCCCAGCAACCCTTTATAACAGAAATGAATTCTCTTTCTCCCCACTGCCCTTCCCAGAGGTTCTGTGCATTAAAACGAAGTCCCTCCTCACACATTATATCATTAACTTATGCGATTCATTGCCAGAATATGTTATGATGCTCACCACCTTACCTAGCTCTATGGGATTAGACACATATAGGATCAGTCTATCAATTGCTATTAGCCATAACAGTTAAAAGGAAACTCTGTGCTTTGAAGCAGTAAATCTCTGTTTAACAGGTGCAGGGAACATGCCACAGATGATGCTGGTCTCCATCATGCTCTGCTTGTGAGCTCCTGAGGCCCATCTGGTTGCTGTGGCATCTGATCCAGCAAGACAACTGTTATGTTCCACCCAGTTCTACACTAAAGTCTAGAGATACCTTACTTTAAAGTCAGCACAGTTTCCTAATACTACAATATTATGTGGGTGTTCATATAGAGCTCCCTTGAACATGTTACTCAGTGAAATACATTTGACAACCAATCCACCTCCTGGAAGTATTACTTGAATATACTGTTTGGGGGAGTGGTAAGCTTGTGCAACCATTACCATTACTATAACCTGCTATAACTATTACCATTATTAGTGTAGTATATTTCCTTTTGAGTCACTTCCTTATACAGTGGACGCTCGGGTCGCAAACGTGATCCGTGCGGGATGCACGTTCACAACCCGCAGCGTCCGCAACCCGCAGCAGCACATCTGCGCACGTGCGGGTCGCGATTCGGTACTTCTGCACATGTGCAAAGCACGATTTAGCGCTTTTGAGCATGCGCGACCACTGAAACCTGGAAGTAACCCATTCTGGTACTTCCGGGTTTTGGCGGTCCATAACCTGAAAAAACGCAACCTGAAGCGTCCGTAACCCGAAGTATGACTGTAGTCAGCAAAGAAAGGGATTTTGTGTCAGTGTCTGAACACTGTAGAAACATACACTGTATTCACAATGAACAGCTACTTGAGGTTAGAAGAGACAAAGTACTTAAAAGTGTTAGAATCTAATTAGATGGCCGACTGATTTTTAAGTATGTTTGACTATTTCACAGCAACCAAATTGACTTAATGAGAAGCTGCTAGTGCACTTTCTGTGTGAACATAAAGAAAGCCCAATATGTCAGATCCAGCAGTGAGTAATTTTAATGTTACTTAGCTCTTCTTGAAGTGAATCTGAAGTACCAACAAAACAGCAGGCCCAAAAAGAAAATGTGTACTAAATTAGAATCAAATTGCTCCCATTTCAGTGGACGGGTATTTGAAGTTCTAACCACAAAACATGAAAGGGAAACTAGACTTTATTCTGTACCCCTCATGGTGATTTCCAAGTTCCCTGCTTTCCCTTGCTCTGAGCATGGCCGCTGTGGAGCTGTGTGTGAACAAGATACCAAGTGACAGTCCCAGCATCAAAGGTCTCCAATGCAAATAGACAGTTTTGCAGAGGGATTTATTAGGAATGAATATTCCTAAAATGTGCCTTTAGGTCCTCCCCAGTATTCCTAAAGGCACAGTCCTAAAGTCAGGAGCTGTCATTGAAACAGGCATAGCAGGGGAAGGAAGTTAGTTCAAAATGCTCTCTTTTTGGAATGACAGTCTTGATCAGGATCACAACCACAGCTGCAACTTTCTTTATTCATGGATGTCCAAGGGCATGCAGTTGGGTAACATGCTGACATTCCCAGTCATGAAAATGTTTACTCAGAGCAAGTTGCATTGTTTTCAGCAATACTTCCAGACAAGAGGGCACAGGACAGAGCAGTAGATTGAAAAGTCTTGGAGCCCTGGAAACCCTAAAAAAGGGAAAGGCAACCTGTAGCCTTCCAGATGTTGTTTGACTCCAACTCTCACTCAACAGCTGCAGCCAGTACAGTCAATGTCCAGTTGTTGTCCATCAACATCTGGAGGGAACCAGGTTCTTCATCTCTATTATAAAAGCGTCTTCTTCACAGTGCATTCAGTTCTCTTCTTAGGGTACCCATTCTGGATTACCAAGTGGGACAAGCCATGTTTGTCTTCCTTCAGACTGTTTGTGGCTGTTCCTGGTTAGGTATTGCTCAAATATAACTTTTTTATTTAATTCCCCTCTCTTTTATAAAAGTTCCCAGGGTGTCTTTGTGTAAGAAGAAAATACAAAACACAATTAGAGCACAAATAGTACAAATCTGTATCTAAACATACTCACGGGTATGGCAGCCAAACAGTATCACTGATGCACATTTTATTCCCATAAACTTGTTTCATAAAGCAACAAGTTTAGCCAAAGCCACTCTTGACCTCCCTACCATTTACAGTGGTAACCCCCAACGGCAAACAAATGAGTGTAAACACTAATATGCTATATAGACATAGGTCTAAGGGAGGACTCGGAATGCCAAATCGACAACTCTATTGCACAGCATTTCAAATCAAATAATTAATCTCACTGATTAAAAAAGGTAAATCCTTCAAATATTAAGTTTATAACAGTTTATATATGCAGTTGTTGTTGTTGTTGTGGTGCATACTTATAGCGCATTCCTACATGTCTACTCAGAAGTAAGTTCCATGAAATGCAGTCAGACTTACTCCTAAGCTGGTTTATCTAGCATTGCTACCTTGATTAGATGAGACTCTGTGAGTGCAAAACAAATTTCAGGTTGCATGGATGATTGTTGGGACAAAGGAACAAATCATATTTCTGGGCTGAATAGACTTAAAAGCACTCTCTCAGCAACTACATCGGGAAAAACATTACCTGCATAGACAACAATTCCTATTGTAACCTCTGTGTTCCTCACTGTGCATCCACGAAGAAGGAGACTTTCATTGTTAAAACCAATTCGTGTGAGGTCAGGCTGCTCCCTACAAGGAAAAAAAGGATTTTCCATTTATATCTTGGCTCTTACAGTGCAATCCCACACATATCTACTGAAAAATAAGCCCTGGTGAGTTCAACAAGACTTATTTCTAGGTAACAATGTATTGGACTTCAGTCTCTCACACATATATATCACATTTCTAAACCAGGGGTGACTAACCTGTGGCCCATCAGCTCCCATCATCCCTGGACCATTGGTATGCTGGTCAAGGTTAACAGAATCCCCAAACATCTGACCTCAAGTTAGCCATGCTGTGGCTTCAAACCAGAGCCCAAGGGCAGAGTATCTACATTACAGATACTCTGCCCAAGGTCCACATCAGAGTCACCAAAGAGTGGTTCTGCAGAGCACCTCTTTATGCTCAGTGTATGAAGATTTTGGGAGGTTCCTTCTGCTTTCTGTTGTGCAACAGTGCCAGCTGTGCAGGTTATAGGTAGGTAGGTAGGTACAAATGAAGTTTGTCTGAGACATCTATGAATGTAGGGATAAACACTGCAGTAACTTACACATAGCCTTTAAATCGATTGAGATGGTTGTTGGGTTTTTCGCAAACAATTGTGCTTTGGAAAAGTTCTGGTTCAAATTCAGCATTCTGCAACAAAACCAAACCCACAGTGAGTTCCTGTTATGTCAGGAGCAAATCAGTGCACTATTTCTGAAAGAATATCAAGCTGTGTAGTGAAAAAGGAACATCAAGCATTTAAATTTACATCAGAAACAACTGCCACTCATCACTGTAATTTACAGTGAGCCCAATATTTGTTATTAACCTGTCAGGTTGAAATATGTTCTAATTTTGAACCCAGTTATAATGTATGTGTGTTTTCAGGCCTATGTATTTATGTGTGCGTATTTCTATATAAAAACATTGCTTAGACATCAATTATACAGTGTTGTAAAATGTAGTATCAAATGTATTTGTGGCTGCACACACAACTATCTTCCTTAAAGAATGAGTAGCAAAGAAAATAATGTGATTCTGAATGCATGAACACCACCAACAAGGCCTCACCTGCCAAACATAAGGTCTGAGATGGCTGATATTGGGAAAAGTACTCAGGTCCAAATTATTTAGCACTTTATATGCTAGTACTAGCACATTGAATTGGGCCAGATTTCTAAGGTTTGGACACCTTAACTTTACCAGCTTGAGTTTCTATTCCCCAGCATGTCCAAATTTCATTTTCAGAACAATCAAATGTCTCCCTCTCAGATTTTGAAAGCCTCTTTCCTTTATCTCTTTGAGTTACTATGTGATTCCGATCTCCTGAAATAGAAGACCATTTCTTTTTGCATTACGATGTAAACCTGCTGATTTTATATCTGCTTGGCCCACCTTTGTTTCACTGCTCTGCCATGCTTCCTGCCTGAATCAATGAGGGATTTGTTAAGTGCCACACAAAATGGCTGGCATTCCACTGGCTGTGCCAGCCTGGATTAAGGCACTCTCACTGCTGTAGTTATATAGCTTTGGAGAGGCACCTACCTGCGTATATTATATATGGGATTACTATAGTGTTAGAATTCAAAGTGTAGCAGCCATTATTTTATAAACAGTAACCATCTCTCTGCCCTGCCTTCCAAACACAGTAATTCAGTACCAAAGGCTTGAGGCTGGTTCACACGACATGTCTTCAGACCACTTTGCCACACAAAAGCTCCGAGTCACATTTGATCTAGCACCTGAAGCTAACATGGTGGCAGTTGTGGAAATGGTCTTGTGTAAGCTAATCAAAGCACATTTTGCCAGATGGGTTTGCCAGAAGTTATCCTGCTAAAGATTCCCTCCAGCTGGACAGTTCTGTGCTTCTGTCTTAAATTTATTTGCATACCGAGGTGCCACTAAAAGAACAGAAGGAAGACAAGTTGCAAAAGTCGCTTCCAGGCATACCTGATTAAAGAATCCTTTCACAACTTGTCTTTGCTTAAGGTTCGTCTCGCCATCAAGATTTGATGTCTCTAAGTGACAGATCCCCTTCTGATCAGAGGTGTGGAGCAGCAGGATGTCCGCAGGGACAGTCTCATTACATTGCAGCTGCACAAAGTCTCCCACTCGTACCTCTTCCCAGCACGTCTCAATGTAGGCTTTTTTCTTCCTGTTATGAGAGAAGACACCACAGCTGAATGGCCTGTGACAGGTCCATCAAGTCACAGAGCGTCTCTTTTCTTTGTGGTACAGCAGTGGCTGGTGAAGTGGTTCAAACAGAATGAGGAACAAATTCATTTTTATTTTTATTTGCATTTTTATGAGAAATTTTGTAACTGACATTTCTCAGAGCAATATGTGAACTGAAGTATAAATATCCCTTGAAATTTGCATATCTCTGAATTTTATGATGCAGGCCTTCAGTGTGTACCAAAACGCACCTACTAGGGGAAAGTGTGCATATCTATACATATACTAGTGAAACTAACATACAACAATTCACTTTGTTAGGGGAAATTGAGTGCAAAAATGTGCATGTTAGTTAAAATTACATACAAAAAAATGTGTGTACTTCCTTGTGACTGTGATTTTATGAACACCTTTTAATATTGTGTTTTTAAATTGCTGTAACTTTATGTCCTTTTTGTCCTGGAACTTTATGGTGAAGGATGATGAATTTTCATGAATATTTTTTTTAAAAATTGCTGCAGAAATGAGGAGAACTGAATTTAACATTAGGAAAATGACAAACTGAGGGAACCTGAAATTGGCATATTCACCCATCCCTAGTTGAAGCCAAATGTTTTACTTATTGATCACAGGCATATAATAAGTACAATAATGTATATTTGTTTTTAAAACTCTTGAATTATTTGGCCAAAATTCATGATAGCAGGTGATAGATGAGCACCTTTGAAGAGGGTGTTCCATAATTGTTCCATAAGTGCAACAGAAAAATCCCTCTTTCCTGTCACTACTTGACTAATCCCTGAAGGGCCATCAGTGATTATTTTAATGAATGGGCAGATTTGTATGGGAACACCAGCCTTTGGGATATTCTGATATTCAGCTTTATATAACTTTACAGGTCAATGTCAGCACTTTCAATTGTACTTGGAAGCATATAAGAAACCAGGGAAGATGTTTAATACCAACAAGATACCGGTAGATTCCATATGTTTAATCCTAGTCAATTATTTGGCTGTTGTGTTTTCAAGCAAGTGAAGCTTCTGAGTAGCCTTCAAAGGCACCCCCAACAATGATGCACTGTAGAAGTCTTCATAGATTTACAATTGTTGTTGTTTAATCGTTTAGTCGTGTCTGACTCTTCATGACCCCATGGACCAGAGCACGCCAGGCACTCCTGTCTTCCACTGCCTCCCACAGTTTGGTCAAACTCATGCTGGTAGCTTTGAGAACACTGTCCAACCATCTTGTCCTCTGTCGTCCCCTTCTCCTTGTGCCTTCAATCTTTCCCAACTTCAGGGTCTTTTCCAGGGAGTCTTCTCTTCTCATGAGGTGGCCAAAGTGTTGGAGCCTCAGCTTCAGGCTCTGTCCTTCCAGTGAGCACTCAGGGCTGCTTTCCTTAAGAGTGGATAGGTTATCTGCTACCTGCTAGGAATTGATTCATGTGAAAAAGGCTTCTGCAGAGCCTCTCCCACTTGGTTACCCAAACAGCTATGGGGTGATTGGAACAGGTACTTAGTACTGCCTAAAAGCTGCATTTCAAACAATTCTGAGGTATTTTAGAGGTACTGTGGCAGGTATCTTTCTCCACAGCCTGGTCTCTTTCTTTAATCTTCCATTTTGTGTTCAGAACTTGTTCACAATCTATGTCCCTAAGCTGGGAATTTGTAACAGGAAATAAATTAAAGTTGGTGATCACAGACATAGTGGTTATGACTCTGACGTCCGCTGAAAAGGGAATAGATTGCACTGAATCAATATTTCCATCGAGAACATGGACAGAGAACAAAATGCGTATTTGTTTGGAAAACAGAACTGTGATGAAGGATCGTAAATGCTTTAAAAGATAGGATTAGAGACTCAAATGATCTTGATAAATAGGAGAGTTAGCTTGCAATCGATACAATGAAGACAAATGTGAAGTATTGCACTTCGGGAAGAAAAATGTTTCCACTTTGCTTGGCATACTTGAAAGTCTTGGATACAGTAATGACAACAAAGTGTTGCATTCCAAGCAAGTTGCCTGGGTGCAAAGGAACTGACTGAACGGGACTCTACCTTCCCTTCTTTCCCCCTGCAGCCTCCCCATGTGCCCTCAAAATCTGGTTCAAGGGCAGATTTTTGGGGTGCATGGGGGCTGCAGCAACGAGAAGAGGAAGGCGACATCCTGTTGAATGAGAGTTTGCTCATGTAGTGTTAAATTCCTCCCATAGAGGCAGAAGAACACAGGAATATAGAACTGCCTTGTATCGAGTCAGATGATTAGTCCATCTAACTCAATGTTCTCTCTACACCAGGGGTGGGGAATCTCCTAATTAGACTTGCCAGACCCAATCTATTTACTGTCATTTTACAGTGGTACCTCAGGTTACATACGCTTCAGGTTACATTCGCTTCAGGTTACAGACTCCGCTAACCCAGATATAGTACCTCAGGTTAAGAACTTTGCTTCAGGATGAGAACAGAAATCGTGCTCTGGCGGTGCAGCGGCAGCAGGAGGCCCCATTAGCTAAAGTGGTGCTTCAGGTTAAGAACAATTTCAGGTTAAGTACGGACCTCTGGAATGAATTAAGTACTTAACCCGAGGTACCACTGTATTTATGATTACATTTCTATCCTGCTCTTCCCCCCACCAAAGAAGCAACCCACACACCTTCACCTGGTGTGGGAAAGTCCGAACCATGGCTTGAAATGTCAATCTGTGACTAAAAGGAAGAACTGTTAAGTGTGCTCCCTGCTCTTTGACAACTACAGCTTGAGCTGTACAGTGTCTTCCTTCACAGATGTAGCTTGAATTCACACAAGTGAGGAATCTCCAGCACCTGAGATCATGGTGATATCAGGGAACTGACAAGTGGGTGGATGTGCCCAACTGCAAAAGTGGTCTGCAGAGCACAGGGGAGTTTCACATCTGGTCTGCTGGCCAGATCTTGTCTTCCACTTCTAGTCTCCACTGGCTGTGAGTAATTTTGCACAGCAGGGATTTTTCAGATCTTATCCTAGAGACCATTCTCAGTCATAATAGACATACATATTTGTGTTTAGAATTTGCTCTCTAAAAACACTGTTACACTAGATCAAGCATCCCCAATCTTCGGCCCTCCAGATGTTTTGGACTACAATTCCCATCATCCCTGACCACTGGTCCTGTTAGTTAGGGATCATGGGAGTTGTAGGCCAAAACATCTGGAGGGCCGCAGGTACTGGCAGAAGGTGATGGCATTAACTTGCAGAAGTGCCTGGAAGGTAGTGAACTGGATCCCAGGTCCTTTGGGGAGTCTTTTAGCAGGAGAGTGAGGAAAGCACTCTTTGCACACACTTCATAGATCATTTCTGAGTGCCAGCATAGGTCCATGCAGGTGCTTCAGATGGTTCTATACAGATCCAAAAACTACCAGCTAAATGATGAGGAGTTCCACTGTACTTACAGGAAGGCACTGGAATATTGCTAAGTGTTGCAGAAGGTCTACCTCCATCTGCTAATTGTGGTGTGGGCAGAGCCCATATGATTTGTGGCAGTATAATGTAAGAACTAGTTCTTCATCCTGGAGGTCCAGCTCCGAGGGCCTTCTGGTGGTTCCCTCACTGCAAGAAGTGAGGTTACAGGGATCCAGGCAGAGGGTCTTCTTGGTAGTGGTGGCCACCCTGTGGAATGCCCTTCCACCAGATGTCAAGGAAATAAACAACTATATGACTTTTAGAAGACATCTGAAGGCAGCCCTGTTTAGGGAAGTTTTTAATGTTTGATGTTTTGCTGTGTTTTTAATATTCTGTTGGGAGCCACCCAGAGTGGCTGGGGAAACCCAGCCAGATGGGCGGGGTATGTATAAATAAATAAAGAAGAAGAAAAAGAGTTTGGATTTGATATCCTGCTTTACCACTACTTTAAGGAGTCTCAAAGCGGCTAACATTCTGCTTTCCCTTCCTCCCCCACAACAAACACTCTGTGAGGTGAGTGGGGCTGAGAGACTTCAAAGAAGTGTGACCAGCCCAAGGTCACCCAGCAGCTGCATGTGGAGGAGCAGAGACGCGAACCCAGTTCACCAGATTACGAGTCTACCGCGCTTAACCACTACACCACATCACAAATAATAAATAAATAAACCTGGGTTTAAGAATAAAGGGAACTCCAATTTTGCTCCAGAACCCAATTAGTTCACAACTCGGAGCCATGTTTTCACCTCTCTCTCTCAAAAAAAGGTTGGATCCCTTGGAATCTTCAGCCCATTACAGTAGACCTTGTGGGCATGTGAATGTGGTCTCCCGAACTCACTGTCACCTTATTCCAGGTGGGTAAGAAACACAATGGGTGGAAGCTGCAGGGCCAAGTAGGCTGCCTTGAGATCTGGACTTTATACACTGGCTGCACCCGTCTGCCAGCACCAATGCACAACTCCTACACTGTGCTGTTGTGCCAATACGGTTCTTTCCTGCTGTGCTGAGAGCAATGTCAGACGTTCAAAACGAGGTTTTCAAAAGTATTTTAATCATGAAAATAGGGAGGGGAATATCTTATACAGAAGCAGGTTTAAACATTGTCTGTCGGGAGTTGGTTGTGGGGAGGGAGGATTTTCTCTGACCCACTTTAGGCATAGCAATAGAAGCAGAGGGTGTGTCACAGTTCTTGATGAAAGAGGCACCTGCTGCCTCTGTCTGGGGAACAGCACATTATTTCCACCTGCTTTTCTGCCAGGGAAAGAAAAAGTACGAGGCTCTCTTGCTGATAAATGAAAACAGCTAAATTAATTCATCGCCTGGAGTGATTTGAATGTCACAGCATGTCTGTTATTATCATTATGTGAAGTACCTGCTCCCTTTAGGACTCAGCTCTGGTTAGCCATTGCTCAATGGAAGCCGTGCTGTGCAAGTCGCTCAGACCAGTGAAGATGATCAAGAGATCAGGAGAGCGAGACACTCTTCTCCAAAGCAACTCCTAGTGCCCTGTGACGACTCGCCTCACACTTGGAGTGGCAGTGCTGTGAAAACTAGCTACAAGCTTGGAGCGTGAGCCAAAATAGCTCACCATGCTGGAGATGCTTCCTGCTGACAAGCCAATGCTTGAGGTTAAACATTAGAATAAATCCTGTCGGAGCAGCTCTGCAATGAAACAGACGAGCCGTTCATTTGTCCAAGAGCATGCCAGATGCAAGGGCCTGTGTGTTCTGTCTCTGCCCCTCCACCAACGAACTGGCTTACAGGGTTCCTCCGTGCGTTCAAGAACCCTGATCACAGAGCTTTCCAGAGCTCACCAAGGCTAGTCAGCAGTTTCAAGTGAATGTGCTTTCAAGGCCCCTTCAGATCTTGCCATTTAATGCAGCGAAGTCAGGAACAGATGGGCTGGGGTGCATAGCCTTGTGCCTCCAACATAATGTCTGAATAGAGCTAGGCTGACAGGGTGAAACTTCATGAGATGTTTCCAGAATGGATGGGCATCTGTTGGGAATGGTTTAGGAGTGGAGGCTTTGGTGACTCACAGCTGTTTCATTCTGTGATGCAGAAGCCACCATTCGGTGGTGCTGTGAGGGAGCTTCATGCCCTCCCAAGGGATTAAAAGGCATGCAAATACGGAGCTGGGTAAATTGACTTTCTGTGAATGGGTGCTGGCATCCGTCTTGGGAGTCAATGGAGGAATGCACCTTTGTGGGTGATGACAAGCTGTTGGAAGGTTGCAGTGCCTGCTGTGGCTGTAGAGACCGATGCAGGCGAGACATGTTTTGTTGCATCTGGGGCAGATGAAGGCATCCGGGTGTGTTGCTGCAGATGCACCATGGCATTTCTTCTCTCTTCACTCCTCCCAGCAGTCATTCCTCCTCTGGACACTGCTATGGATACATGACTTGACTGCCTGACTCCAGGCACTGTGGTTGTCTGCAAGGGATTCCCACATGATGTTGCCAACTTTCATGTCATGTTTGCAGACATCTTTGTAACACAGAGTTGGTTTGCCAACTGGCCTGGTGCTGGAAGCCAGCTCCCCGTAGAGTATGTCCTTGGGGAATCCTGAGCCAGAATCTAACTCATGCTACCCCAGGATAAAAAACATGGATCAGAACCTTGCTTAATATCCTTGTTTGTAGTCAGAAATTAACCACATTTGTGTAGTTTCCTATACAGTAGTTTAACACAGCCTAGAAGCGTTCTATTGACTTGCTCTAGACCACCAAATGAGCTTCAAGTACACATTCATTTCTGTTTCTCTCATGCACATAGTCACACACTGCTTCCATTGACTGCACATATTGGCTTCAGGTTAACACATCATGTCAGCCTAACCCACCTCACTGCTGGAAACAAAAAACATAACCCAATGAAAGTTCAATTCTTCACCCAAGTCAGTGTGCTGCACAGAAAGCACTCATTTCTATCTATGATCACAGATACACACACACACACACACAGAGAGAGAGAGAGAGAGAGAGAGAGAGAGAAAACCTAAAGCACTGAGAGATTTTAAAAGCAAGTCCAGACAACTTGCAGCAACTTATCCTCAGGCTACAGCTGCAAATTGGTACAACGCACAGCATTACAAATATGCCCCATAAGATACACAGTGTGCATTCATAAAACTGCCTCAGTATATATTGATACCATTCAATTTGCAATTTATATTAAGTTAGTTTGAAAAGTGGTACAGGGGCATAGCCCTGAAGTAGCTGTTTTTCAAGAAAACCAGGAAAACTGTACCACATAAAAATGACTATTGCTTAAACGATAATCCCAGGATACTGTTCAGCTGGGAAGGCAAATAGCTTTCTTCAGGACAAAGTCTCAATATTATTATTTTTTCTGGGGGAGGGAGGATTTTGTAGAGCTGTGTTAGTTGATGAAAGACAAAAGAGGCCTTTCTGAAATACTCCTGTTCTCTTATTAATATTAATCTATGAATCAACTTTCACTGAAGTCTCAAGGCATTTATAACAATGCAATAAAAACAACTAAAATAGGTTTTAAGGCAACATAAAAATCAAGATAGATTTAAAAAGCATTGTTGGGACTAAATAATCCACAGGGGCCCTTCCAACTCTATGATTCTATGATTCACCAGAGAGCCTCCTCAGCAGAAACCCTTTAGAAAAACAGCTGCTTGTGCAATGGGACCTTCTTCCCTGTCCTTCCCCCATGCACACCCTGAAATTGGTTTGGGTGGGGCGGGAGAATCCCTGGAACAGTGTGTGGGAGGAAGAGAGGCGGTATCATTTCACATGGCAAGTTAAAATGCTTGTACATTCGAAGTGTTTGTCATAGTGTGATGCTAAATCCCACCCTACACATATAAACAACCAAGGCAGAGACCTACTCCCTCCCTCCCTGTCCTCCAGCTAGAAAAAGCCTGTTGAGCCAAAGATGCCTTTAATTATTTCCAGAAATTAAAAACAGTGAGCACCTGTTGCATCTCAACAGGAACGCTGTCCCACAAAAACGGGGGCAGCCACACTGAAAGCCGTGGCCCAAGTTGCTGTGGAGTGGGCTTCTGATACTCTAGGGCCTTCAAGGAGAGGCTGTCTTGCAGAAAAACATCCTACAGTGACCTACCGAAGCTGCAAGGTCACTAAGTGCCGTCAGGCTCAAACACGGAAGTTGCCCTCCCCTGTTCCTTCTTTCTTTTTCAAGCACCAGTGCCACTTTGGCATTCGGTGATCAAAGGTCAGAATATGATTCTTAGCCTTCCTTGTTGTACAAACAAAAGGAATATAGATATAAGGAAGAACAAATAAAATGCAAAACAATTTATGCTATAAAATAAGCGGTGTGATTTCTGCAAAGGGAAAGATCCAGACCTTTATTTTCCCCTTGCAAGAAATGGTTGAAAGGAACAAGAGTTTAGAAGAGAAGAGGGAAATGCTATGTCTGAAAAATCGGGGGAGTCAGTAGAAAATTATTGAGCAGAATACAAATAAAGAAATTGGGAATGAAAGGAAGAGGGGTTATAGAAGGAAGGCGTGTTAACTAGTCACATAGAAGCCCAATCGCCTCTTATGTACTGAAATTGCTGAGGCTGATATACCACACAATAAGCCCCCATTTCCTTTGTATGGCTATCAGGCCCCTTAAATGCTACCCTAGCTGAGTGGAATTGCTCTCCATGGCCCAACCACATGCACAGCAGGGGCCAAAAACAAAGTCTCAAACATAAGATTTGTGTGCAGTGCTAGGAGAGGGGAGCTATCAATTCATTTAGGGTAGAAGAAGCACACTATTGGCCTTTTCCACCCAGGATGAGTTATTCAAATGTTACCCTAACCACAGTAATGGGGAAATGGCTCCCATGTGTCTGGGTTAACTTTAAAGGGACTCAGTTTCTGCCTCCAAAATGGTGTTTTTGTTATTTAGCTGTGCTTCACTCTGAGTTCCCAAGGTGGATTGCCACAATTTAAAATACAATATTAAAAAATGGTTTAACAGCAGTTTACAATCACAAAAATCGAGTGGGTCCTAAATGTACATCTTAGGTGTGAACATCCGGAATAAAAAGGTGTGTCTTCACCATTCACTGAAAACTGTATAGTGAAGAAGGGTAGCACCACATAGTGGACACTGCAACAACCCATTGTGGAAGTTACTAGAGTATGGAGTCCAGTGGTTAAGTCATTTCTGTTCAAATGGGACTATAGATGGTGAACCGGCCAGAGGTGGGGGAGAAAATAACTTCTAGCCCCCAAAGCAATCTGAGTCTCCTGTAACAGTGTTGAATTCAAGCTGCATCTTCTTCCTTCCAGGGAACTGCTACCCCATCCAGAACAGGCCATCTCCCCACCTCCTGAACATGACAATTTGGGGTGCACAACACTTCTCTCTTTTCACTGCCTCTGAGCACCGGTCTAAAAGTTCAACCACATTTCCCAATTCCAATGGAACAGAGAGAGAGAGAGCTGGGGGTCACCTGCATACTGATGTCTCTTTACTCCAAATCTCATGATGGCAGCTCCCAGCAGCTTCAGACAGATGTTAAGTAGCAAGGGGGACAAGATGGAACATTGCATTTCTCTGGGTGTCTCAACCCAACTTGAGCAACACCCAGACTGCCTAGAATCACCTCGATTCTGCCCAGGCATTAGCCCTTGCCTGAACCCAGTGCACAGAAGAAGAAGAAGAGTTTGGATTTGATATCCCCCCTTTCACTCCCTTTAAGGAGTCTCAAAGCGGCTAACATTCTCCTTTCCCTTCCTCCCCCACAACAAACACTCTGTGAGGTGAGTGGGGCTGAGAGACTTCAAAGAAGTGTGACTGGCCCAAGGTCACCCAGCAGCTGCATGTGGAGGAGTGGAGACTCGAACCCGGTTCCCCAGATTACGAGACTACCGCTCTTAACCACTACACCACACTGGCTCTCTATAGTGCACAGCCCTATAGAAGACTATAGTCCTCTTCTATTGTAAGGCAAGTAGGCCTAGAATTTTTATTTTTTTTTAAAAGAGGTAATGGGAAGGCAATCAATCCAGACATGTGCAATAGATGCTTCAGTGTAGTTTTCCAGAGGTGAATGACACTCCTCAGTCATTAAGAATCACACAGCCCATCAAATCACACAGCCTCTTAAGTTTCATACCTTACCATAGAAACTATGCTGAAATTTCTAATGCACATGGAAAGTGTTTAATTTTATCTTTTTCTTTTTGCCCTCATGTTTGATAGGGAGCATTGCCTCCTACCATTCACAAGATATCAGACTGACCAATTCTACAATCAGACACTGGATACACAGCAGAAAATTCTTGCAGGGCAAATAGCTTGAGATCATTCATGCTTGTTTTGAGCCAATCTAGTTGTACTACCCTTGTAGGTGGGACAAATTTGAGATGCAATCTTCCTTAATCTTTTAGTAACTTGAAGATGCGAGAGAACAGAATTTCTTTCAGAAATTGGAAGACAGTTCTGTTTTCATATTTCTTATGGAGTTCTAATGTGGTGATGGATAATGTAGATCTCCGGCATAAAAGAGACACGTCTTCTCTCACTTACTTCTTGATTTGCAATACGCATGGTTTGTTATTTGGTCTGAAGTTGGCAAATTAGGTTACTGAGTGTAAACCATTGTTTACTTTCAAGCCAGAATGGGAAACCCAATTAACAGTGTGGTTTCCAGTTCTGTATGGAGGCAAATTATTTTGGGCATTAAATCTCATTTGCCCTGTTTGGATGTATTGAAAAAGGATTGTATCCAATTTAAGGGTAGGCAACACATTCCGTCATTGCAAGGATTTCTACTCGTACAATGGAACTTTCCCCTCTCTCCTCCCATTGTGTGTACCCTAAATCCCTGGAGCAGGAAAGGAGAAGGAAGGAAGTTACAATGCAGAAATCATTGCAATGACAGAATGCATTGGTTGGATACTGCCCTTGCTATGGTTATAAAGCACCAGGAAGTAAGGGAGAAAACTGGAGCACATAAGGGGAGGTAGACAAGCATACATTTGAGCATAAGGCCTTCCTGGCCTAAGCATGGCTTAGCTATAATGCCTGCTCTGGGCTACTGTTTCCACTCATGTTATCTTTGGAATAGTACAATAAAAGTAATGAATAGACCAAGAAACCAGGAAATGAACTACAAAAAATCCCTGCTCTGATGTGGTAGACAACAATTTCAACAACTCAGATTTTTCCAATACGTCCTACACAATTAACAATATTATTTTTCAAAAGGTTGAGATGTAAGGTTGTAGCACCTTATGAAAACAACAATTCTCCCCTTTTACCTAAAATAAGAGATGAGATTACTAGAATTTTGCAAAGCAATCATGGACAGAAACCAGGAAACATGTTGTTGTCAGGCAGTCTCTGAATTTGCCCCCTTTCACTGAATGCACTGCTTTTACTAACACTAGAAATACTTAAGAAGAACACTTTCCTTCCAAGTTATTTTGAAACTAGAAATGTTGTTTGTGTTTCTGAATCACAGGTCAATTTTTAGCCAACAATTCTCTGGCAAAAGTCTGAGTGTGCAGGGGGACATTTCAGTCCCCTCCAGATATAGTTTTTATTGTGCATTCATGGTAAGTTATGCGGATCATGCTATTGGAGTGGTCCCAATTTCAATACAGTGGTACCTTGGGTTACATATGCTTCAGGTTACATATGCTTCAGGTTACAGACTCCGCTAACCCAGAAATAGTGCTTCAGGTTAAGAACTTTGCTTCAGGATGAGAACAGAAATCATGCTCCAGTGGCGCGGCAGCAGGAGGCCCCATTAGCTAAAGTGGTGCTTCAGGTTAAGAACAGTTTCAGGTTAAGTATGGACCTCTGGAACGAATTAAGTACTTAACCTGAGGTACCACTGTAATGTTTGTACCAGCAAAAGTATTGGGTCATACTGCTTCATTTCCAATTAGTGTACACACCCTGTAACTTCCTGCTGAAATTCCATAACTTTTCATACCACAAACATTCTGGGCATTTTTTTTATCCCACTTTTGCTATATTATTCGGAAAGCATTGTCAAACTAATAAAGCAGAATAAACACATCACCAACACACTATTATTATGTTACAGAATCCACCCACAATAAGGACCCGCAAATAGTCACTTAAACAAAAAGACAAATACACCTTTTAATCTAATATTTCAATGCATGTTTCTGAGGCATTCCCCAAATTGAATCCAATGACTTATTTACCTTTTGTATACCAGACAGCCCATGCTATTGATCTCTCTGTCCAGTTTGAATCTCCGAAAGTCCTCCCAAGCATCTTTGATAGCTGTGATGGCCATGATAACACAGACTGGGATCACAGATACCCCAGGTTCAAATGCATTGACCACTGGCACAAAATTGAGTACTGCAATGCCCACAAAATATAAATTAGCAAATCGATGAAATTGTTCATACAGGTTTTTAGGGATGAAGGACAGAAGGGTGTATCTTGTGGTCTTGATCCTGTTGCCCACATAATGTCTGTTTGGGTTTTCTTTCCACGTGTCTTCAAAGGGCAAGTTAGAAACGACGACTCTTTTTGCTTCTTCTTTCTTTTTTCTCCTTGTCCTTCTCTCTTCAGGCTCCTCATTCTCAGAATCAGAAGCAGCATTCTGGCAGCATGGTCTTCTGAACCGAAATATGTCCCTCAGGAATTTTATAGGGCACATTTCCTTGACATCTTCCTGCCCCTTAAAAGCCACACTTTCTTGCACAGGTTTCTGAAAATTTAAGCTTCAGTCTTTAAGTAGATTCGCTGTACGGCAAAGTGCCGGTCTGAGTTTAACTAAAGCGATTGCTTTCACTTGCTTTTAGTCAACACCTGCTGGAACACCTACGTCACAAATGCACACAGGTATCATCCTCCTATAAACCGGTTTTCCAGTCATCCAAGTGAGTGATCCTGGGTCCTAGTGCTTGCTCTTTGTAGTGATGAATGAGGACTTTGTTCCTCAGATATACACTTGTATAGAAACTTCCTGAATCTCACTGTGAACAGCAGACAATGTTTCAGCCTATTTGTCTCTTATTTGAATATTTGGGACATATTCTTAATATCACAGGTTTAATATATATTAAATGCCATGTATGTGTGTGCGTGCACATGCATACAGGGCTCAAAATCAATCAAATTTCTGCACAAAGAAATTCTATGCAACAAAACTAAACTACACACAGACCAAAGATGAATTCTACAGCCTGCATTATTTGCACAAAAAAGAACATTTGCATATTTGTGTTTACTTTTCTTAATATATTGTATTTCTTGTCACCATGAGGATTCCCAGCCTCTGGAAATGTTATTCCTTTGCATTCTGCTTCCTTCTTGTAGCCAAAAATGAAATAGTCAAGTTGGGCCTGGACCAGGAAGTGGAAAGGAGAAAGAGGAGTTGAATACAGAGCTGCTGAAAACAGGTTGCATCTTTATTTTGTGAATAACTTTCTGTGGTGTGGTGTTAGGAGGCCAGGGGCCAAAGCACTATAGCACTTGTAAAAGATTCCCCCTCCCCAAGGCATAGAACAATGCAGTTTGATGCCTCCTTCTTTAGTATTGATGTGAGGTACACTTCCAGTTACAGGACTGTTCCAGTTCCAGCACAAAACTTCTTAAGGAGTCCCCACAAAGAGGTTTCCACTTCCTCAATGCCCATTGGCAGTTGTAAAAACATATACAGATCTAGTGACAAGCAAATATTACGTGGCTTGATTTGAATTGGGATCAGAAAATCCATTTAAAACAAAATATAGTAGCTTAGTTAATTCTGAGCCCAAGTCTCAATTACATATTTGGGAATGCAGCAAAACCCAAATACCCTCCTGAAAGTCTTCTAACCCCACATTGTGAGTAGGGATGGACGAAACTGGTCTCAGTTAAGTTTCTCATTTTTTCCAATCTTAAATTCAGTTTTCCACATTTCCATAGCAATTGGTGGTTTTTAAAAGAGATCCTGATGAAAATTCACCAGCCTTTCATTGCAATTTTCTCCCAATAAACAGATTTCCATATGCAGTTTTGCCTAAGATACAGTATTGCAAGCCATTGCCTCTAATAAAAAGCATTTTTGTGTGCGCACGCTACTTTCACTAATATGTATGCTTTTATGCAGATTTTCTTCTAACAGATGTACAATGGGTGGTATTCAGTGAAGCTTTACTTAAATTAGATCCATTGAAATTAATGAGAAAGGTTACGTTAGGTCCATTAATTTCAGTGGGTTTATTCTGAGTAAAACATAGTTGACTACCACCCATTCTTTGTCTGAATAACGTCATCACAAAATTCAGAAAAGTATTAATTTTGAAGGATAGCAGCATTTCTGTTTGCATTTTGGTTCACAAAGTGAAAATTAGGTAGTGTCTCATTAAAATGCAAAGTGCTACTTGTTGGAATGCTTTAATGATGTTACAAGCACCAGAGACCCTAGGAAATAGAATTCCTCCCTGGTGCCTAAGTGCTTTATATGGCCATAAGAACATAAGAAGAGCCTGTTGGATCAGAATGATGGTTCATCTAGTCCAGCATCCTGTTCTCACAGTGGCCAAGCAGATTCTTCCTGCAAGCAGGAGCACAAGAGCATTCTTGGTGGGCACTAGGAGTGTTGGAAGTTACCGTATTTTTCGCTCCATTGGATGCACCCGACCATAGGGCGCATCTAGTTTTTAGAGGAGGAAAACAAGGAAATAATATTCTGAATCAAATGTATAAACTACTGTATTTAATAAACAACCGGTATATCAGAATCACATTACAGCCATGTAAAGTGAACAGCAGTTAACAATGGCATTAAGAACCATCATCACTGTCATTAACAAACGAAGAGAGACTTTAAGGTTTGAGTACTCTTCTAGTCTTCTGTGAACCCCAAGAACTCATCACTGCTAAAGTCAGAATTTATGAAGCTCAGTTGCTCACAGTCACTGACATCACTTTCTTCGCTATCTTCATGTAAAATACCATCTTCGTATCCATCCAAAGCATTGCTAATGCCACATTTTTTCCTCTCAATCCTCTTCCTCCCCTCTCTCAGCGAACAGCCTGCCAGCTGCTCGCAAACATTCCCTTTACTTGAATTACAGTCAAGAAACAGCCAAGCAGAGCTTCTCAGCGGCAGGCTTGGGAGGCTTTCCTTTTCCCCACTTTTTTCTCTCCCCCCAAGCAGAACAGTCCCCTTTTCCAGCCTCCTCCTCTCCATCCCTTTCACCCAAACTCCTCAGGTGATGTCTACAATTTCTCCCCTTCACTGCTCCCTCTCCTTTGCCCTCTACCATGACTCTCCACTCACGGCAACCTATGGTACCGCATCTCCCTTCACCCAGCTTCTTGGTCCCCCTCCTCTCCGTCCTCTTCCTCCCCTCTCTCAGTGAACAGCCTGCCAGCTGCTCCAAACATTGAGGGGAAGGGCAGGCTGCTGGCAGAGCAGCACCCCCACCCCCATTCAGCGGCCCAGGAGTGTGGGGCATGGGCGCACAGCCTGCCCACTGCTCCAAACCTTGAGGGGAAGGGCAGGCTGCTGGCAGAGCAGCACCCCCCCAACCCCATTCAGCAGCCCTGGAGCGTGGTGCATGGGCGCACAGCCTTCCCGTTGCTCCAAAGCTTCCCGGGGCAGCAGAGGGAAGCCGAGGCTGCCGGCAGGGGAGCGCGGCTCTCCCCCCCACCCCCATTCAGCAGCCCAGGAGTGCGCGGCATGGGCGCACAGCCCTCCCCTTGCTCCAAAGCTTCCCGGGGCTGCAGAGGGAAGCCGAGGCTGCTGGCAGATGAGTGCGGCTTCCCCCCCCCGCCCCCATTCAGCAGCCCAGGAGTGCGGGGCATGGGTGCACAGCCCTCCCCTTGCTCCAAAGCTTCCTGGGGCTGCAGGGGGAAGCAGAGGCTGCCGGCAGGGGAGCGCGGCTCTCCCCCCCACCCCCATTCAGCAGCCCAGGAGTGCGCGGCATGGGCGCACAGCCCTCCGGTTCCTCCAAAGCTTCCCGGGGCTGCAGGGGGAAGCAGAGGCTGCCGGCAGGGGAGCGCGGCTCCACCACCACTACCAAAGACCAGTCCAAGAGTGTGCCGCACTCCGGCAATTTGGCTCCAGGGACCACACATTCGCTCCGTAGGACGCACAGACCTTTCCCCTTACTTTTTAAGAGTAAAAAAGTGCGTCCAATGGTGCGAAAAATACGGTACATATCCCTTTTGTCAACAGCAACTCTGTAGAGATAGAAGTGTCTCCTGCAGAAGCATGCAGACTGGTCGTTGCAGTCTGGCAGGAATTCAAGTAATCCCAGCATAACACTAGAATGGTTTTCTAATATGTTTGCCAAAATAAGTATTTAAGATGCCATCTAGAGCCAGAAGAGGATTTCAACATGAATTTTAAAGCAGAAATCACCCACTACAGAATATGATTGCTGGTTATTTAATTGTAGTAGTAGTAGTAGTAGTAGTAGTAATAATAATAATAATAGTAATAATAAAATAAATTTTATTTATACCCTGCCCTCCCCGGCCATAGCCGGGCTCAGGGCAGCTAACACCAGTAAAATTACAGTAAAATCATAATAGGAAAAAACCCCCACCAATTTAAAATACAGGTTAAAATGCAATTTAAAATGCAGCCTCATTTTAAAAGTAGCCCATGAATCAAAACCGTAAGGGGAGGGAAAACAAAAGGGTCAGACTGAGTCCAAACCAAGGGCCAGATGGAACAGCTCTGTCTTGCAGGCCCTGCGGAAAGATGTCAAGTCCTGCAGGGCCCTAGTCTCTTGTGACAGAGTGTTCCACCAGGTCGGAGCCAGTGCCGAAAAGGATGGAACGGAGCGCTGGAATGGAGATCTGGAGTATTAGTTAATGAAGCAGAAGAAGGCTTACCTATTGTATGCTTTAGTCTTGGAAGAATTGATTTGCTGATCAAACCTGTATCTCTTAAAATCTTCAGCACCATCTTTAATTGCGATAACTAAAAGCACAGCAACCAAAGGTAGCATTGTGATCTCCCTGTGGAAGACTTCTAGCTGTGGGAACCAGTTGATGATCACCAAGAACAGGAAATAGACATTGGCCAGCCTAAAAAAATTTGTATCCTATTAAAAGAGGTTGATAATTTTACACTTGATTTCCACTTCCTAATTTGGTTCTTTTTGAGTAGTTAACAACAACAGGAAAAGTCTGAAACACTAATTCATGGGTAGGCAAACTAAGGCCCGGGGGACGGATCTGGCCCAATGGCCTTCTAAATCCGGCCCACAGATGGTCTGGGAAGCAGCATGTTTTTACATGAGTAGAATGTGTCCTTTTATTTAAAATGCATCTCTGAGTAATTTGTGGGGCCTGCCTGGTGTTTTTACATGAGTAGAATGTGTGCTTTTATTTAAAATGCATCTCTGGGTTATTTGTGGGGCAAAGGAATTGGTTCACCCCCCCAAATCATCCAGCCCCCCACAAGGTCTGAGGGATAGTGGACCAGCCCCCTGCTGAAAAAGTTTGCTGACCCCTGCACTACTTGGATCAATTAGCTTCTTGAGATGCTCACCCTCTCAAGGGCTGCAAGCTGCAGGGCTTCACTAAAGAATGGTCTGCCAAGGACAAAGGAGATACTTAATCTCCCCATACGAGGCTACTCCTTGTTCAGTCGAAATAGAAAATCAAGTTGAGACCATGATCTGAAGTATATCTGGGCTAGTATAGTATTGGGTGGGGATGCAGGTGGTGCTGTGGGTTAAACCACAGAGCTTGCCGATCAGAAGGTCAGATGTTTGACGGGGTGAGCTCCCGTTGCTCGGTCCCTGCTCCTGCCAACCTAGCAGTTCGAAAGCACACAGTGCAAGTAGATAACTAGGTACCACTCTGGCAGGAAGGTAAACAGCATTTCCGTGCGCTGCTCTGGTTCGCCAGAAGCGGCTTAGTCATGCTGGCCACATGACCTGAAATCTATATGCCCTCGGCCACTAAAGCGAGATGAGCGCCGCAACCCCAGAGTCGTCGGTGACTGGAACTAACAGTCAGGGGACCCTTCACTTTAATGTATTGGGTTAGTCTCTTGGTTATCATGGCAGCCATGAAATACGGGGTTTTACCCTATCAGAAAGATCTCAACACTAATTCTATGTCACCTGAATAAGCTCATTTACGGAATTTGCCATGCAGTGTACTAAGTAGAAATCCCAACCCATTCCTAGATCCCAAAACCCACAACACACATGCTACATATGTGGTCTGTCACCACATTTTTATATACTATATATTCATATACTAGGGGAACATGATGACAGAAACCAAATTTCTATTTATCCATGTGACTAGACCTCCACTTGCAAATTCTCCATTAGTGGTGTATTAGGAAACTAACTGTCCATAGCTGTGATAGGAACAGAACTCCTGCTTCATCCACCCATATCTCTGTAATATATGCCAGACAAGGATCTTCATCCAGGGTTAAATTATGGATGAGTATAGTTTTTGCTGTTGTTGTAACTGATTGGTATTAAACATTTGACATAGTGGACTGTAGTCTTTGCCACAATACATTTAGGTTGCCATGGGACTCTATTGTTTTTAATGTTGTAGGTGTTTGGCCGTATCGAATATGTTATATTTTGTGTATTTTTTTCCAAGCTAACCTGGCTGTACCCTATGAAAATTGGAATTTTTCTGTTAAATTCTACAGTACACTACACTGATTGAGTTTTCAGATTTAACTACTGTAGGTTAGACTTTTTAACTCAAACTACCCCATCTAACACTTTTTGCTTTGCTTTACCGTTCTAGCATTTCTTCTGAATGCCTTTCCATCCTGAAAATATATGCAAAACCTTTTTATCTATATAGTTGTGGTGTGTATGGAAATACCTGTGAAACTGCTCGAAGAGATTTTGAGGTATAAAAGTCAGCAAAGTGTACTTGGTGGTCCGTATCCCATTTCCAGAATAAACACGGCAGACTTTCTCTGATTCTTTCTGAAATCTCTCATTACTGGGAAATACAACTCTCCATTTGTCTAAGACGTATTTCTGCCTCTCTTTGTCAGCTGACAACAGAGGTGCTGATTCCAACTGAGTCTGGGAGACCTCTTCTACAGACCACCGAGACTGCCAGCGATACCAAGCAGAGTCTACTGACAGAGCCATTTTCACCTATGGAATTGCCTGAAAGAAAAACACATAACAAGGGCTGAAAACCAATTCCAGTTTGGAAGCAAATGCATTTCTTGCTAGTGAAGCTTAAGGGCAGCAAATGAACATCTCAAGTTAATGTACTGGCTGCCTGAATTTCAAATATTGTGTTTCCAGAACAAATTGCATAGGCTAACAAGCACAATAAAAATACTTTGAGAAGAGAAAGAACAAACTGTTTAACTGTTTGGAATAAATCACAGTTTTCTTGTTAAAATGCATACAGGGGTTTTTGCAATATCCATACAGAGATCATTTCATACAAACAGAGTGGGAAGGTGATGCCAACATACAGTGAACTGAGTCACAGCAGATGTCGAAATGTTACAATATGAAAACCAGGGGAAAGGATATCTGGCATGCTGTGGAATGAAATATGCATATAGTTGTTTATTAGATCAAAGTCTAATAAACTGCATGCTTCCTCAGCGCTGGAAGTGATCACAACTTGTGGAGGGGAAAAAACCTAGAAGACAGCACAAAGCAGCAAGTAATTCTAGAATCCAGCAATGGTCTAATTCTAAAATAATAATTTAAAAATCTACTTCAGTTTAAGCACTGAAGTCACTTACAAAATGATTTATGCGCCAAAAAATCATTGAAACTGCAAGCAAAGGCATGTCCTTTAACCTCTACACCATGTAAGCCAGAGGTTGCCAACCTGGTGCCCATGGGGGCTGTGGTGTGCTCGAGGTCTTCCTCTGGTCCCTGTGAAGTGTCTGAGCCTCCCAACACACTGCCCCCTTGGTCACAAAGTGGTGGCGGAGGTTATGTTTTTCTCCCCTGAGAAATTGTAGTCTCCTCCTTAAAAAACTGCTACGCTGAATGTGGAAATGAAAGGGGCTGAGATCACCAGTACCACCAATTCTGAAGACTTAGTGCTGTTTCATTGCTTCCTGCTATTATGTTATTGCCAGGAGTGGATACTACTCATTATAACCCAATGGAACATTCATGTTTGGGGAGGTAGTATTGGAAGTGGGAAACTGAGTCAGAGAGGATAGCCATCACCTTCATGCTCTCCCTATGAGCAGTTTGAGGTGCTCAGTCAGGCTGCACAAAGCACAGGCAGCCTGCTGTCTTGAGAAAGATCAATAAAAGCAATGAAAATATCAGGATGCACATCCAAGCATTCTTTTAGAATCTTGCTAAAGACTTCCTTTTTTACTTCAGCAAGCCTCCCCAGTCATAGTCATAGTTATTTATGCTTGTCTTAAAATTTTTGTTGATTTTATCTGTCTTACTGATGATTACATTATATTATTTTCTGTACACAAATTAGAATTTTTATTAAGTGTTTAATAAATATTTCTAGTTAAATAAATAAAACTGAAAGAAGGGGAGTGAGAGGAAGCTGAAATGATCACGAAAACCTGGGACTTGTCTCTCTTGTTGGGAAAAAATCAGAGATGGCAATTAAGTAGCTGAGAGTTCGACAGAATTTATGCTTTTTTTTTCCCAGGGGGAGGAATGAACCTCTGGAGCAAATGTAATTAAAGGAGAAATTAATTGGTAAGGAGGTAAAAGGGTGGATTGGCCCTTATAATTTAGAGGCACCAACTATCCCTCGTGAAGCTGAGGCTCCAATACTTTGGCCACCTCATGAGAAGAGAAGACTCCCTGGAAAAGACCCTGATGTTGGGAAAGATGGAGGGCAGAAGGAGAAGGGGACGACAGAGGACGAGATGGTTGGATAGTGTTCTTGAAGCTACCAGCATGAGTTTGACCAAACTGCGGGAGGCAGTGGAAGACAGGAGTGCCTGGCGTGCTCTGGTCCATGGGTTCATGAAGAGTCGGACACGACTAAACATCAAACTATCCCTGTTTGTGAATGGTCACTGTTGAAAATAAGAGTTCTGGATTAGATGGGTTCTTGGTTTGACCTATTAATGACATTTCTATTCTTCCCATTTGTTCTCACTTCTGCCTCCAGGCCCTGGTGTCTTCATTAAAAGTCCCTGCAACTTTGGAGGTAGCTCTGACGTAGGGTTCATCCCAGGGCTGGATTTACATATAAGCTAAACAAGCTATAGCCTAGGGCCCCACTCTCTTGCCCCCTCAATATACTTCTTCTTAATTGTATTTCAGTTCAACAATTACTTTGATAAAATATATATTTTGTTATGTGCAAATGGCTTTAGATACCTATTAGGTCCAAAAATTACCATATGGCGTATATTCAAGACAAAAAACAGTGACAATTTGTTGTTGACAAAGGACATATAAAGGGCCCCATTACCTTCAGTAGCTTAGGGCTTCATCAAACCTAAATCCAGCCCTGATTCATCCATACTTTCGCTTCTTCCATGGCTAGAAAGTAGGGGTCTTTTCTGCTTGTCCAATGCTTTCTAGTCATGAGTCCGAGTAGTATTGCATTTGCCGCACAGCTTTCCCCTGAAAAGCACGCTCTTTGTCACTAAATTGGAACAAACGGCAATCCACAGAAAACCCGATTGCTGTTTGATCTGTTCAGTGGTAAACTGCCAGTTCCCCCAGGGAAAAGCGGCTGGGCCAATGGAGCTGTGGAAGAGCCCCAAAGACAAAGGAAACAAGGGCTATATAGTCGACAAGTTTTGAAGACCAGATACAGTGGTGCCTCGCAAGATGAAATTAATCCGTTCCGCGAGAGTCTTCGTCTAGCGGTTTTTTCGTCTTGCGAAGCAAGCCCATTGACGGATTAGCGCTATTAGCGCTATTAGCGGTTTAGCGGCTATTAAAGGCTTAAAGGCTTAGGGGATTAGCTGCTAAAAGGCTATTAAAGGCTATTAAAGGCTTAGCAGATTAGATAGAGGGGGGGAAAAGCGAAAAAAAAATCTCAAGACTCGCAAGACATTTTCGTCTTGCGAAGCAAGCCCATAGGGGAATTTGTCCTGCGAAGCAACTCCAAAACGGAAAACCCTTTCGTCTAGCGGTTTTTCCGTCTTGCGAGGCATTCGTCTTGCGGGGCACCACTGTACCAGTCTGCTTCTCTGATGAAATCCGGCTCTACCTGTACTCAGGAGTACTCGCAATGGGTTTTGTAAGACGAGGGTGTTAACCTTGGCACTGGAGTCAAATTTCAATGAAATAATTAGCCAGCGTTCATACACATTCTTTACAATTTTATTTAGATAGTAAACAAGCAAAGCAAGAGCTGAATAATAACTCTTCAGAGGATTCAAGAAGTACCTGCTTGTTGGATGTTATATATACCTAAAAGGAGACCACAAGGAAAAAGAAAAAGAAAAACACTTGTTTGTTATACTGTTGTTGTTGTTGTTGTTGTTGTTGTTGTTGTTGTTTTATTATCTGCCCTTCATCCTAAGGTCCCAGGACAGTAATTTAGAACACAGTTTAAAATAGTTTTAAAACTTACATTTTTTTTTTAAAGTGCTGGTTTAAAGTGTTAATGAATTTTAGTTTTCTAAAGTTCCTCTTCTGGGTTGTTTGATTTGTGAAGTGTCACACTAAGTTGCCTACCATAGGTATACTAACTTCAAAGATTGTCCTTTTAACTACAAGAAATAATTAATTTCTATTTTCACATCCCACTTTCATTAAGTATCTCAGTTACCAGACTGAAACTCTCTCATTAGCTGATTTTGACCACATCAGACTGGCCAGTGTCCGGCTGTGCTCTATGTTCCAAATCTCTGCTGCCTATAAATTAATCAGCCAGGTTATTATAATATGGTCTCAAAGGCCTTAAAGGGATTTTCAATTAGATAATGTTATTACAGTCTTAACTCACCTTGTTCTGAAATTGTTTTCAGTGAATTTTCATCCTGACAAAATTACTTGCATCCCAAAGTGTTCAGTCGGAAAAGACCTTTCACAAGTAGGTATCATCACAAAGCTTCCAGCTAAAGTGATGCAAAGGAGACAATTGAGATCAGAATGTGTTATGCAAGGCATTTTCAGAGGCTTGAGGAAATATTAATGGTCCAAGGCCCTGGAAAAGCCTCTGTTAGAGTAACTGCTTTAATTTAGGTCACAAATTATAATGAAAGGTGCGTTATAAGACGGGGTGGAAATAATCAGACTAGTGTGGAGAAGTGGGTGGCACATTGTAACAGGTATGATTTCCAGGCTGTTAAGTTGCCTGTGTCTGCCGTGTGTAAAATATAAACTGGGATTTGCAAAACCATTGGTGAACTATTACTGGTGTTTCTGATACAGCTAGGGGTCTAACTGTATGTTATGTTAAATGTGTCTCAGGAAGTGTTTGATCCCTTTAATGTTATTATTCTCAGTGCTTTTTTCTGGGGGTACGCAAGGTACAGTGAAACCTCGGTTGTCGAACATAATCTGTTCCGGAAGCCCGTTCGGCTTCCAAAATGTTCAACAACCGAGGCGCAGCTTCTGATTAGTTGAAAGAGCTTCCTGCACTCAAGTGGAAGCCGCATCGGATGTTCGGCTTCCGAAAAACGTTCAAAAACCGGAACATTTACTTCTGGGTTTTGGGCGTTTGGGAGCCGAAATGTACGATAATGGAAGCGTATGGGAACCGAGGTTTGACTGCACCGTTCTTTTTCTAGAAGAAAAGCACTGATTGTTATCATTATTATGGCAATTCACTCAAAGAGACTTACAAGCACAATAGAAAAACTTAAACCAACTGCCATGATACTAAGGATGTAGCGGCAATTTTCACTGGGAACGCAGCACATGAGGAAGAGAGGCTTAACCTTTCTCTCCCCTGTCACAAAGCTGAGGTAACTCTCCAGTCAGAGCACCCCCCTCACCATGGGAGGTAAGAAAAGAAGAGCCACCCTGCCAAGTGCTACTGCCTGCCACTATGATACATGTCCTTGGAAGGAAATGTTTTTACATTTTAGAAGCACACTTTAAAAGCTTGAGCATACACCGTATAAAGTGCAAAGCTGCCTTTATATGATATTTGGCTGAGATAAACCACCTCAACAAACATGGCTCGGTAAGAACGTACTTCTCAAATAAAGAGTTTTAAAATGTCC